CGATTCCCGTAATATTCAAACATTTGTTATTCGTGATTAGGTCTGCTGGTCTATGTATTTTTTATATAAAATTTGTATGCATTTATAAAAAAGTGTGTTTATGAACTATCCAATACTAGTGTATATAATACAAGTTTTGCTTAGTGATTTTTATTATTAATAGCATTAAAGACGGAGAAGTATATAAGCTATTTTTTATATTTTTTCATCCCGATAAGGCAAACGTAGTCACGTGTAAGAGTAAGTTCACTACTATTTCCATTCAATGAAAATAATAGATAGTATTTGACTAAACAAAAAAAAAAGAAAAAAAATACAAATACGCAATTTCAAAACAATTTATATAAATTCTCATGAAGAACTGTATTTACTTAAGATAAGTGTATTTTCTTATATATAGAACATACAATCAATAACGAAAGTTATTCTATTCGTGAGTAGATAATAACAATACAATATAGTAACATAAATATTGAATCTATGTCTATATTTGCACTTATAATATCGTTCCTATAAGTACCGACGCAAACAGAAAATTAATTAGAGAATTAATCGGATCCAATTTCCTGGACAAATATTGGCATGCATAAAATATCTATCGATTACTGGCCCGGAAATAGTTGCTAATTATTTTCCGAAAATATCTATATGTGATGTGATTAATATATAATACTTTTTATTTACATACATACATACGTATCTGTCACGCCTGTCTCCCATTAGGGTAGGTTGAAACAATGAAACTTTATATTTGTGCCCTTAAAAATAGAGATTTATTTTTATTTTATTATTATTTTAGTCGTTAACTGCCCACTGCTGGACATAAGCCTTCTCCATAAGGGGAGTTTTGCCAATAGTTGCCACGCTTGGCAAGAGGGTTGGGAACCGCAGCTAGGCTTTTAGAGATATTTTAAAAGGGATGCTGTTGCCCATCTCTCGCCCTCCCTTAGTCGGCTTTTACGACACCCACGGGAATGTTAGGGGTGACTCATTCTATTTCGGGGCACACGCGGCGATACTTATAGTATACTATTTACATTATACATACAACCATAATTATTATTATATCAGCTATTAACTGTCCATTGCTGACCATAGGTCTACCCTATAAAGAGAGTTTTGCCAGTAGTCACTATGCTTAGCAGGTTAGTTGCCAACCGCAGGCTTTGGTGGTGATATTTTAGGAGAAACGCTGGTGCCCATACCTCGAGCATTTCCTTAGTTGCCTTTTACGACATCCATTGGAAAGGAAGTGGTGGCCAATCCTATGTTGGGATAACACGGCGTATTTATTACAAGCATAGATATTTAAATAGAGAAGATAGTTAATGTTGAGTATTTTGTATGAAGACCAGATATTCTTCTGTAATGTTCTTATGTAACAGATGTCAACTCAATACAATCCTTCAATATAAGGATTAGATAGCAGTGACATTAATCTAAAACTCGATATAATATACAATGGGTACCATCGCCCGCGCAATTGTAATGGCTAAAAATTATTATTAATTGGATTTTTCATTATATTTCCAAAATATATACTTCTATATTAATATTATGAATTTTAAGTAGACTCTGAATCCAAATTTAGACAGATTTTAATATCGAAACAATCTGACTCGAATTTACATATCGATAAATGTATCGAATGCTATTACGTTAATCAACTAACTCGGTATTAGAATAATTTTGACATTTAAATAAAATTCAATTAAAAATAGAATTTAGAATAAAATTTTGAAATTATATAAGACATGAACAACATAGTTACTTAATTTGTACAGACAATATAATTAGTTTGCCCAACAAGGCGGCAAGGCAAATAGGTCGCGTACGCAAAACAAGGCAAAAAATGTTAACGAACTCGCTCACACTTTCGTGTATTTCCTTATAATGATATCTCTTTGTAACTGTTACTGTCATTCCATATCATGTCAACTGAGACTACAGATACTTAATATATGATTACATATAATAATGATGTATATACCTTGTAGATGAATAATTGAAATTAAACCGAATTTACATGTAATAGAGGATATTAGACGTTAGATTATATTTGTCGTCTATATGATATGATGTCGATTCAATTCCAATTCCATTTCATAAAAAATTACCCCACAGCGTCGTCTTTAATCATTTATTAAAAAGGTAAATGCATACCTATACGCAAGTACAGCTGAGGAAATATCCCATAATAAAGTTGATATTTCTATCTTCTCAAATAGAAAAGCATGAGTTGTAAACAACAGATTTAAAAGACAAAAGGATTCTTTCTTCATGAATACTTATGGCCCAATAAATTTGGAGCTTATAAAATTTACATGCAATTCCACAAAGTGCCTTTAAGTGTGTATGTATACCTCGTTGTGATAATGTATTCAATAAGACGAGTAAGATAACTACAATTACTTGTCGACGGGGACGACAAAACTTAGTCCAGTTTAACCCCGCTAAGATACAAGCTTGCTTGTTCACCGCTAAAAAACCCTATTTGCTGTGGCTCCACAATTCCAGGGCACGTCTATTAACATCTCTAAAAGTGGGGGGAAAGGGATTGTTAGTAATAGAGATTAAAAATCCCATTGCTAACAATATACCCAACCAGGTTGACCTCCTCGCGGTTCTCCCTAGAAACTATCATGGTTAATTCTTGATGGATTCATCATGATGGGCTAACTGGCCTGTTTTCATTCTCATCAATCACCCTTCACTGGTGCTCCGTCAGTGTATCCCGTTAGCACAGGTAGGGTTACCATACCATTTTCACCCATAAAAAAAAAAAACATCTCTAAAAGTATTGAGGTTCTTGGTGTCGACATCTCTAGTAACGTACAGTTCCGTGACAACCTCGAAGATAAGGTGAAGCTGGCATCCAAAAAAACTTAGTATGCTTAATAAAGCGAAGCATTACTTAACGCCGGATCAACGATTAATACGGCTCACCATCGACAGGGATTTCTCCTTCATACCCTACAGCCTAGATGGTCGCGTACACGCAGTTTCAGAGATATTTTCTCCCATGAACACTCAGGTTATGGAATGAGCTTCCTGCCAAGGTTTCCCAAGAGACTACAGCATGAGGTTCTTCAAAAGGGGGTAAAGAAGTTTCTTCAGGGTCGGCAACGTGCGTGTAATATCCTGGTATTGCAGGCGTTCATAGGCTACGGTAACCGCTTACCATCAGGTGGACCATATGCTTCTTTGCCACCTCAGTGGTATAAAAACAATGTATTTTTCTAACACCATTACTGAGATAACGATTAAACTAATAGCACCCTTGATAATAGCCAAACACCGTTTGGCTACAGACCCCAACAGCTACGCCGGGAATATATCAAGTGTGTATTGCCGCTTCTAAAGAAAAAACCTCTGGGGAAATTCTCAACAGGAAGCTCATTCCATTTGACTATAGCGTAGTAGTAGGCATGTTGATTTACGCAAATGAGGTCCCGGATTCAATCCCCAATCATGATTCGATCGGAAATTTTCGGAAACAAACTTTTCTGAATTGTCTTGGGTCTGGGTGATCCGAGTTGTGCCATCAGATGTTCGTGTCCTTATTTCCCATAACACGTATCCAAGTTTAAGGACCAGGCAATTGATGTGATTGTGTGGTATTTATTACTAATTGTTATTATTATTGTAGATTTTAGTGCAATAAAGAATATATATTTATAATTCTATAAATTAAACTTTAATGATTTACAAAAGAAATTCATCTTAGGGTCACTAAAAAAATGGACACGAAATTATAGATTGCGCTAGAATCGAGACTTGTGGATTGTGTTGTTTATTTTGTAATTAAAAATAATTTAAGGCAAAATTTCTAAATTGGTGGGTGGGTGATATAGTAATAATTTTTTTTTTATTCTACAATGTTAAACGACCATTTAAAATAGTAATAAGTATGAATGATGATGATAGATGATGATAATGTCATCATTTAGTCAACAAAATTGAATTTGGCTGGCCTAATTCGAAATAGATTAACAGTTTTCCATACCAAGTTTTTTTTTTTTTTTTAATACCAAGTTGATTTTATAAGTGTGAATTGGAAACTTGTTTGTGTGATATTATATAAATATACAAATTTTCATATTGGTTACAAATTAATACCTATATTATTTTTATTAATAAAAATAATAATGGTTGTCATTTTAAATAATTTTAAAAGTAAATTATTACTATGTTACAATTTTAAACTTTCGCATTGTTTACCCATATTTTTAAATACACAATCGGAACTTAACGCGATGAAAAAGCTTTTACAGGTAAACAATATCTACATACCTACTGTCGTGACCACAACGTGGTGCCATCCACGTCGAAACGTCGGCAATAAAGAATCAGGTATATAGGTACTATTTACCTGTAAAAGCTTTTTCATCGTGTTAAATCCCGATTATGTATTTAAAAATAAATATAACAAGTCTGTACTCCGCTATAAATCAAAGTAAAGATAAGCATCAATACGAATCATAATATTCTGTTTATTTACACATTTATTTAGGTACTGATATATCGCCTGATGCAGCTCCTATAGCCAGCGTAATATAGTATCGTTCAATAGACCTTAATGACAATAAGACAGTTTACTGATTTCTAGAAGTATTAGTATGAATCAAAAATCTGTTAATTGATTTGATTGCATATTTCAATTTATTACTAATTTTATTTAGAATGCTACTTCGCTAATTTCAACAAACTTTGTTACTTTTTAAGACAGGAGGCAAATGAGCATGCTGCTTGCTTGAAGTTAAGTAACTACCACTGCCCATTAGCACCTGCAACATCAGAAGTATTATAAGTGTGATGCTGGCCTTTTAAAAAGGAATTATGCTCTTTTCTTGAAGGTTATGAGTATTCTATTGAACTTAATTTATTGTACTATTGTCTTGAAAGCCGTATAACATTCTTATGGGCAACAGAAAGTTTTTAAGGTAAAGTCGCTATGTATAAATATATATTCTATAAAATTTTTTAATAAAACAACAGTATGTAGTACAAAATATATATAATAGTTATTTGTATTCAGAATTTCTTAAATATGTAATATACTTATATCATAGTATTCCATTCAGTCTTGTATATCATCAGGCTGTATAACATTAACCGTTTTCGTCACTATGGGTTCACTGTCTGCAACAAAAAAGACATAATTCTTTAAGCCTATTATTTCTTAAGTGAGTTTATTTGTTCGTTACCATATAGCGCCTTAACAGTTTAACCAATCACTATGAAATTTGTCATATACATACTATGTGGGATGGAGAAGAATATAGACTACTTTTTATCTCGGTTAGTAAACATATCCTGATTACGCGGACAAAGTCGCAGGTAAAAACTAGTAATATAATAACTGCGAGAATTCATAAAGATAAATGGATGAATGTTTGTTACTCTTTCACGCAAAAACTACTAAACAGATTTGAATAAAATTTGAGAAATGAGTAGGTTATATCCTAACTTAGTACACAGGATATTTTTGTACTGATTCATGTGGGCAGAGCCTTAGTCTTATATATTGCGAAGAGTAATTAGATTTTCTCTGCAATTAAAGAATCTGCCAAAGTAAAGATTAGTAATATACTCGTAATTTGACTACTGCCAAATTAAGTGCATTTAAAAATTCGAATAAGTTAAAGCGTAAGAACGTGTATATTTTCTATCCAACTTATGAAATCATAAAGTTTGTTTTAAACTCGAAGATATACATTATTAGCGATATATAAAACTAATTACCCAAGCTATAAAACATATAAGAATAATAAAATTAATCAAGTATTAAAAATATCAAAAACAAAAACATTTGAGTTTCCCATATCAAATCAACACCTGAACGGTTTTTTTATTAATATTTCCTTATTGAAAATGTTCAGTTTGGTAGTAGAACACTTCCTTTATAAAATGTTAACGATACCTATTTCATCATACAAAATACGACTAAAAATTATGACAATATCGCGAGTAAAAACTAGTTTAATAATATAAATACATACCAAATCCATGCTCCCAGATAGATTCAATTAACTCTTCCACAATTGTGCCATTAGCAAATACAGTACGTGTAGTGTCCTTCTCGATACGATGCGGTGATTGAACAACGAAAAAGTATGCTACATCCTGTGTTTCTGTACTATCTTTCAATTTATCCCAAAAGCTCTCGTCGGTTCTAAACCATGATACTGGTTTGTGATCTGGTTCATCTGTAAAAAAAAATTGAAATAAAGTTAAAATGCATCTAATCTATATACTTTAAATTAAAATATTCAATTATTTTATAGACGTAACTATATAGAATTTTTGAGCGTCCCTAATATATAAACTGAATATTTGCTTATAAAAAAATTAGTCAAATAACTCTATAGTAAAGTTATGTCTCTAAGTATACGTCTGCCTAACTTCCTTGGCCATTATCTACGCTTCAACCACAGACCTCAACCAAACAACATTATTATGTCAACATGATGACAACTTGAGACATGACTTCGAGAGATAGTTACTTAGGATTAGGGATGGGTAACATATAGCCGTATCTATACTATACTTCTGTTATAAATCTATACTTTGGCCTAATAATAGATATAGGTATTAAATATCGATTCTCCAATGTATAAGAATGGAGAAAAGAACCTGATCGAAATTAATATAAATATTCCATTGATATTGACGATATTGAAATAGCTGATGACTTTTTCCGTCATCAATTTCCAGAGGACAAATGTGAGTAGATAGATATACAGTCAGCCAATCAGTGACCTGAACTGATTTATTACTGGTGAATGACCAACCAACAATATTAAATTAAATTTATTACAAAGTTATTTTGTATTATAAGTAAAAGAATATTAAATCACGAAGTCGTTTAATAACATAAACTTAGAATAATCTAAGTTTAAGTCATTAAACAACTTTGCAGTTTCTATTAAAAAACTACCAAACGAAATTGTAGTCAAATATACGAATATATATAATATACTAATTTTATTTAGACTTCTATTTTGGACTATTACTGCTCACTTGCCATTTCCTATGCCACTGTGCTAAATTGGTTGAAAAATATATATTTTAGAGATAAGTCCAGCTTTACTTACATTATTTCTAATTACTTTTATTACTGTATCTTTTAGTTCAATTAAGAATGTTAATTTTTTTATCTATTACCTACCTTCTAGTTCATCTGTAGTTATAACATTTTCACTTTCATCAGCAGTAACATCAGACACATTCTCTACCGAGCTATCTACACAAGAATTTGAGTCTTCTACAGTACTAACAACTTTATTTCCAGCACTTTTGAATACTACATTTGGGACATTTGTGGTTGTAAATGTAACCTCATCTTCAGGATTGGCATTAATTGTTGTTGCTGTAACTACTGTGAGTGAAACTTCATCAGAACTAACTAATGAAGTTTCAGATTTTTCAGTTGTGTCCGTAGTAATAATTGATGATTCTCCCAATAACTGATCATCAGATGACGATGATACTTGTTGTTGTAAGATATTATCATTATTAAGTGAATTATTAGAAGATATCTCTTGTGCTGTAGATGAATTAATATTTTGTGGTTCTAAATTTGTTTCTGTTTCAACTGAAGTAACAAAAGAAGTTCGTGGTTGTATAATAATTTCTTCTTTCGGTTTATTTGATATAATATTATCAGAGTTAATTAATATAAAATTAGGATATTCTTTTGCAATAAGATCCAAACTGTCTACATGCTCCACTTTGCCATCGGGATGTACAACTAAATATCGTTTTCTGTGATTTGTTGATAATAATATATCTCGTATCCTTTGATTAGAGTTTATATATTCAGCATTATAACCTGTGTTAAAAAAAGAAAATTATAGCATATAATAAAAATATTTCTAATATAACTATTACATATACTGCAATAATAATCTGTGCCGGGTAATTTAATGATGTCATGGTTCGCTTATTCTTTCAGGCAAGTGTGTGAATTAAACGCGCACTCTCTCTCTCACAAACACAGACAGACACACGCACGCACACACACACACACACACACACACACACACACACACACACACACACACACACACACACACACACACACACACACACACACACACACACACACACACACACACACACACACACACACACACACACACACACACACCCCCGTAACTCCAGTATACGCAAAAAAAGTAGCGTATATATGCTAGCCAATCAATGCCAGCCAATGCTAAATAATAAAATTTAAATAAAAATTAATATAATAATATATTTTACTAAAACACTTACTTTGAGGTGTACCAGTAAATTGGAAATTTGTTTGAAGCTGACCGTAATTTCCGGTCTCTGCTGAATATGGTATACTTTGTACGTTTAGAGGACGATTACTTCCAACACGTTCAGGATTAGCTAAACCTGGATTATTTTGAACTTCAAATTGTTTTACCCCTGATGGCTGTAGATATCCATCGTTTGCTCTCCATTGCGAATTCTTAATATTAAGAGTTCTTAGATTTTCATTGCCATTAATTGGCTGAAGAATATCAGATTGGGTTGGTACAGGTGACATATAACCTGGCCGATTGCGCAAAAGATATTCATTTGTTGGAGAAATACTTCCATCTCCTAAAATCGTTGTATCGCGTATTCGGGAATATCCTGGGCCGACGATGACATTCGATACTAAAAATTATAATAGTATAAATTAATTAAAGTAAGCGTCATGATGATATCAAAATGGTTATTTTCATTCTACTAACATGATCAATATAAAAGTTTGTGAAGATTGTAAGATATTTGTTACTTAGCCACGCTTAAATGGCTATGTGGATTTGAATGAAATATAAAGCGATAAATACTTACTTACAGCACACAAATAACAACAGATATAGATACATACGCAAAAAAAAATTGAATACATTTATCATAAAAAATACATACAAAACGTAATATAATTTTTCACTTCGTGAGTGTGTCACAATAACACAAAATGGTCACAACTCAGTTTATTGCTTTGCCCTCAAAAGAGCAAAACACTGATTATTCTGTTGTGACCAGATATAGACACCTAAGAAACTTATTATCCTGATACATGTAGGTAAACATTATGAAAACGAGTTAGTTTAGAATACCATAGACACTATTATTTAACAAATGAATCTACATACATGTACACATAGTTTTAATCGATTAACCACGCAATAGAAAACAACAAAGTCTGTTGTGCTAAAAAAATTCGAATACAGAGCAATATTTATATTATTAAAACAATTTTAATTATAATTTTATTAGTGCTGGATAAAAATAAACTCACCAACTATATCAGCGAACAAAATGGAAAATAAAATAAAACACAACATGTTGGAAATCTTAGTGCACTTCTATTGGTGTCTCCTTTAACAAAAATACTGAAATATGGGGCCACACTTCCATTATAAACGATTAAAAAGTAAACATTATGCCAACAAAAGCTGTTCATACAAAACCTATTATTCTTTTCAATGTAATTCTGCCTACGTTGTCAATAAACTACATATTGTATTTAACAATACGTCATAATAAGGTTTCCTTTATATATACAAAACTTTACTAAGAATTATACACAGATAGATATATCCAAAACCTTCCACTTAGAAAAGTGAAAATGTATAATTTTCCTTACAGAAGTGGGGAAAATTATGTAGATGTAAGTGTGTATGCTCGAAGAACCGATAACCGATGGGGAAGAAAGGTTCTTGAGTGACGACCCTGAACAGGCAAACGCAGTGTAGGACGACCCCCCACTAGATGGAGTGACGACCTGAAATGCATTGCAGGGAGTCAATGGATGCAGGTGGTGCGGGAGCGTTCTTTGTAGCGGTCTATGAGGGAGGCTTATGTCCAGCAGTGGACGAATAATGACTGAAATGATGATGTTGTATGTATCTTATACTCGTAACTGTCTAAATACATATATCAGGTAAGAACAAGTGATACACAAAATGTACATATAAGTGAAAAGTAGAGTTTCCGGATAGTAACAAAGAGAACTAGTAATAAGAATACAATATACAACCATTCTTTATTATACACATGATATGTTACAAGCAACTAAAGGCACAGTACACGAATTAGCTATTCGTGTTTTGTGCAAAGTAATTATTAGTGTTTTTGAAGTAATCATTGAAAGAAAATCCAATAATAAACTGCCTGCTTAGCATACTATTACTGACAATCACCTCGCCCCTTATGATAATATTTTTTTAATAGATGAAAGTGAAGTGTTAACCCTATTGTGTGAGGTGAGTAAGGGAAGAGATGTAAGAGTGGAGTCAATAGGCTTACTGATAAGCCCATGATAATAATTATATACCACGATAGTTTCCAAGAGGAACCACGAGAAGATTGTATATTAGTAGCAATATAGCTTCTAGTATCAATTAATAGGTTTTTTGGCTAAATATTGTTGGTGCTAAAGGCGGCGGTTATCACTTACCATCGGGGGAAAAGGGATTGTTAGTAATAAGGTATAATATTGCTATTGCCCTATATAATGCCCCATTGCTAACAATTGACCCTCTCAGGTCGACCTCCACGTTCCTCCTGGAAACCATCATGGTTAATTCTTGTCGATTTCAACATGGTTGGCCAACTGACCTGCATTCATTCTCACCTATCATCTTCTACTGGTGCCTCGTCGGTGTATACCGATAGCGCGGGTGGGGTTACCATTCCATTTTCATCTATTAAAAAAAATAATTTACCATCAGATGAGTCGCATATTCGTCTGCCCTCTATGTTAATAAGGAAATATTTTTGCTTTGACTGTTGGCTTTGACGCTTTGACTGTTGAGAATTAATCCGGTTAGTTAACAAGTTAATTCAGCAGTACTCCTCGACTCGCAAGGTGCTACTGTTTCGCGAGTACACGTGGGCTGGCCTGGCAAGTCAATGTACCTCACGGTACGGCAATATTAAGTACAAAAGTCGATTGCTTGGGTACCTCTGTCCCATTCGTGTTTCTACCGTGAAGCAGCTGTGTTTGCGTGGATGTGTTTCGGTTTGAAGGGTGGGATATGGAGTGAATTTACAGGGTACAAAGGAATGACATCTGAGTCCTTAGGAATGGCAAAGCATGGGGGGTATCATGGGCGAAACAGTATACTCTGTTATGTCCATGGTACTGCTCATGTCTATAGGCGACGGTTACCACTTTCCATCAGGTGGGCCATCAGTTTGTTTGCTATTCTAAGTTGTATAAAAAAAAAAAGTTGAAAAAGACGTTAAAACAATTTCAGCAGTTCATATTAAAGAATTGATAAATAATGATGCCTGTTTTAATTACATACACTTCCATTGTAAATATCGGAAACTTTGAAATCTTCAGAACCTGGTAGGCAAAGTAAGAAACTTCACTGCATAATGCTACATTTATGACCTTAGAGAACAAACTAATTTTTCGATGCTTGCTGTTTCATTATGTTCGTACTATACGTATTTAGTTTTTTATTATGGAAAGCAATTGACTTCATTCGTAAACATATATCCATCTATAAACGACGAGATTTCATAGATTGGATTTGAAAATATTTGAATTTAGAACGTAAAATCGAGTATTAGATCAAATAACTTCACTGATTAAAAACTTGATTGATTTCAGCAAAAATGACAGCTTCTTTTGTTACAAAAATAAATTTAGCATTACGAACAGAATTGTCAATATCAGATTAGATTGGCAACATATTGCCTAACATAATTTAAAAAGTAAATCGAGAACCTCCTTTCGGAAGTTGCTTATTTTATAATAATACTCATAGCACAGACTACGCTTTTTTCATAATGTAGGTGGCAAACGAGTGTGTGGCTTACCTGATGGTAATTGCAGGTGTGCTGCCGACATTTTAAAAAGGAATATGCTCTTTTCTTGCATGTTACGCTGTCGTATCGATTCCAAAAGATTGCTGCTGGAAGTTAACTCTGTGCATGAAAGTGCTTTGAAAAACATGTTTAGGATATAATTAATTACAATATTATTTCCATCCTATACTATAAGTAATAGAATAAATATTTATATAAAAACATAACAAAATACTATCAGAGTTTCGTGCCTTCGGTCAAACTGTTTATAATTATTCTTCTCCATCCAAAGCTTGCCTGGAATATGGAAGAGATCGCTCCTAGCGATAAGGCCGTCTTTTGTTTTCTCAGTGTAATCTTTTCTTGTAATTGTTTGTGTATATAATAAATGTACTATTGTAATCTTTTGAAGGAAACAATAAAGAGAATGTCTATTTATTTTTACGTAAGTAAAAATTATTCCTTCCAATTTCATGTGAACCAGTCTTTAATAATACGAAATAACAACTAGCATATCATGATTTCCATGTCATGTTTGTTCACTGTGTTCGAAACATTGACGTTCTAATTACGTCTGTCAAACATGTTTTCAAAAACAATGGAGTTCATAATGTCAATTTAATTGAATCTTCTAGAATTTCAAGTTGAGTAAACAACTTAGAGAAAAAATAAGACATGCGCTTGCTTTAATAACATAAATAAAAATAGTTACTGGCATATTACGGATGGAACTAGCTAGAGAAAGAGATGATGACAGTCACTAGAGAAGCCTTTGTGTGTGAAGATGTGCTATATGATTAATTAATTTTAAATAATATGAAACATATTTACTATACATTGTTTTAAAAATAAAGACATAGAAATGGAAATATTTTTATGGACTCTTATAAAAGTTGAAATTTTAGAAAATTATAATGATTATACTTCGAAATACGATATTTTGAGTTTCAGTTTCAGAGCTACAAAAATAAAGCGAAACAATTGGCTTCTTCACCAGTGGGTTTTCCAATTATTTAAAGGTTATTTTAATAGAAATTTACATTTACAAGTAATTCAGTTAAAGTGTTTTTTAATATCAAGTTCTTTTATCCCCTTATAGAGTTACTCATCTTGATTTAATATATGTATATCTAACGTTATATGTTTAACTACTATTAGTTTCTTATGTGAAGGTGTCGACTTCTGGTTTTTTGACATTTCAAAAAAAATTTTTTTGGTTAGTACACATTTTTATATTTTTATGTTTTGTACACACGACAACCTCTCACTCAAATATGAAGCAAGTATCAATATTAAATTCTCTAAACATACATATTTAAAAACTTAACTTTTTTTGAAAACTTAAATATTTCAATCAGATACCTAGATCTGGGATTCCAATTAGGGGTACCAATGAAGAATTGTAGATAAGGATAAAAAGGTAAGTCAGTTAATCCTTAGCAATAAAGTTATGTGCAGTTAAACACCATATGAGGTCTCCACTGGGACTGCGAGAAGGTCGACCTCACAGGATATTTTGCTAGCAATGGGCTGCTAGTACCTACTACTAACAATTCCATTCCCAGACTAAAAGGTATTTAAGAGTTTGTGTCTATGTAAATAATAATAAGACTGTATTGTAACTGAAAATGGTATTGACTGCAGAGTTTCTAGTCCAAGGATTGTCAAATATTTATTAAAAGTGCAGGTACGACTGTGTCCATTGTTTGTATATCTGATGAATGATGACCCACATACGAAGAGCACTAAACAATTGGACAAACAGTGTACGAACTTGTAAATTTTTTTTTTTTCCATTTCTATACGAATGTGGCGGATTGGAATTAAATAAAAAACTTACCTAAACAACATAGACTAAAACTATGCACCTATCTAAAATACGAGTATATACAGTATACAAATACAGTTTATAGATTTTCATTACCAATAAATTTTCCATAATACTCAGAATGATAAACTAAATTGATCAATAAGAGTGGTACAAAAAATAATAAATGTGTTTTCTCTTGATTATAATAACGATTTGATACATTATACACTAGTTAGACCTCATGTTACTTGCTTCAGTGTAGATTATGGATTGATGTTTACTTGAAAAAATCTTGATGGAGCAACAAACGGACTCATTTCAACGTCAAATGGCGCAAAAATGTATTTGATAATAGCAATGCAAATTTAAAGTTACATCATTTGCCGCAGTGTCGTTAATCGCTAATCGCGTCCTAAATATGGGTTCGTACACGACCCATGAAATCGGCATACTTATAATCCCATCTAGCTTTTTACTTTTCCTCAGTATAATAACGAATTAAGTCTGAGTCTTAGTACTAGTCTTAGCCGCCATGCCTGGACGATCTCCCAATAGTCATGGAGCGTGCTATCACACGTGATGTTCAAACTGTCTGACATTTACGCCACATATAAATTATTTTTAGGTATAAAAATGATATAATATAGTAGAGATATAGTAACAATACTTATGCTATTGGATAAAGTCGGCGGGATACTGGCGAGAGATGATAACTGAGGATGAAGTTAGGTCAGTTGGTACATCGTGACCGTGAACACCCTCAAGTTACTTATTTTTTTTCATTATCTAGATATTTGAAAATAAGATACTGGTTAGACTTCATTATTTATATTAAAAATAGAATGTAAAACACAAGTAAGATAAAAACAATTTCTATGGTTCTAAATTCAAATTATCGAAGACTGTAAAGAATAAATAAAATTTTACTATTTTATTCGACATTTTTGCAAAAAAAAAAACAATGCTTAGTAATTTTATTGCTGTTATTTTAATGTCACAAATAAATTATGAATTGAATTGTATTTGATGTATATCACAATTGTTTTTGTAACAGTTAAGATTTTTATGACTTTTAATGCTCATGAATTGTAAAACCGTTTGAATTTAGAGTCACATTATTTTTTTTTACTTAGACGCTAACTTAGATACAAATAGGAGAATATTAGAATAGGAAGTGCAATTTTTTTTAATGGATGATGATGGAATTATAACCCCACCTGTGCTAACAGTATACGCTGCCAGGGCACCAGTGAGGGATGATAGGTGAGAATGAAAAGATAGGGTAGTTAGCCCATCGTTGTTAATACACCTAGAATTCAGCATGATTGTTTACAGGGATGACCACGTGAAGGTCGGCCTTACACCGTATATTGCTGGGCATAGGCTCCAATATAAATAGGTTGTAATCTTAGATTATGAAGTGTATTTTTAATGGGTTTACCCCACCTGTGCTATCGGCATACACCGGCGGGGCACCAGGGATGACATGACTTAGCCCATCGTGAAGAATTCAACAAGAATTGTTCACGATGGTTTCTAGGGGGAATCACGTGGAGGTCGACCTAATAGGGCATATTGCTAGTAATAATGGCTGACAAACTCCATTGCTAATAATCCCTTTCCCCCTATGAAGTATATACGTCATATGAAGTATAGACGAATAATCGTCATAAGTCTATAATTTGTGATCGTGACATCTATGTAAAAATTTTGAAAATATAAAGAGCAGTACAAAAGCAAATTTTCAAACTTCGTACAGTTACCTGTAGTATAATATGTATACGTTACTTCACAGTTCTTTTATTTATAGAAAGATGGCGTTAAAACAATATATTTGTATACAATACATTATTTATTCAAAAGGCTAACATGAAGTAGAAAAGTGTTAATTTATTTCATTACAGGTACGACCATTATATAAGAAACAAATATTCTTGAAATGGCGTTCAAAGTTACTGTATTCTTTTTAATTCTATTATTGAAGTATTTAAAAGGTATGTATACGTATTATATTATATTATTTGTTTTGTATTATTGTATTTTTTATTTTATTACTTTATATATTTGAGTGCACACAATACTTTATACATGTATACTGTATTTTAGGAAGAGCGACACTACATATCCAATCTGTAACATTTTTTTCTTTTCATTGTTACACAGCTAAGTAGCGATAGTATTGGATATCTAATATTTAATTTTTATTTATTCAATAATATTATAACCCCAGTTTTTTGGCAATATATACCAATTACAGTTATTATTAGGAATACTAATTTAGGAGTAACTTCGTCTGCGTGAGCGGGATATGTTAATTGACTATACCGAATGCCTTTGTCCTTTACCATCCCATATATGAGTAGTTGGTGATAAAAATTGGTCAAGACACAAAAGCACTTACGAGGTAACAAATGAACAAACTCACTTTTACGTTTACAATATTATTAAAGAAAAAATACAGAACTTTTAGTGCTAACAGATCATTTTTCATCAACAATTGGGAAGAGAATTGGCCGATTCTAAGGTGTCATGTTTCTAAAGTTGCCTCAATGTAATACATTAATTTGATTATTTCGAGAAATTACTGTTTTATGGATCATCATAAAGTAAAATTATAAAAAATTTTACTTAAATGTACTAGAAAATTTGTTCATATTAATCTTTTCCATAAAGATTTAGCTGTTATATCAAAAAAAAAATTATTCAAATTAGAAGGGTAAATAAGCTGACGGCCCACCTGATGGAAAGTGGTACCATCGCCTATAGACAGGAACAATACCATAATAGAGTATAATGTTTCGCCTATGATACTCCCTACGCATTATCATTCCTAAAAACTAAGGTGTTATTCCTCTGTACCCTGTAAATTCACTGCCATATCCTACCGTTCAAACAGAAACACAGCCATGTAAACACAACTGCTTCACGGTAGAAACACGAATCGAACAGGTAAGTTCGAATCCCATCGTAATGAATACACCTAGAATTCAGCACGATGGTTTCCAGGGGGACCACGTGGAGGTCGACCTGACAGAATAATATATATTGCTAGCAATGGGACTAGTAATCCGCATTATTACCAACCCCCTCTCCCCTAAAGTGTGATTAGTGTTGAGATACAACATCTAAACCACTAATATTTTTGTTATTACGCAGCTGAAATTGAATGTGGTGATAACGAGGTATTAGACAATTGTCCAACGGACTGCGCATCTGAACACTGTCCCACGAAGGAGAGTGCGCCTCAAAAGTGTCCCTTCCCTGACCCGTGTCCTGCACCAGCATGCCGGTGTCAATTTAACTACCGCCGTGCTGTAAATGGAATTTGTATACCAACATCTGATTGTCGTAAGTATAGCGTGTTTCAATAGAACTAATGAAAGGGTAATCAAATTTATTAAGTAATACGATATCTGTTAAAACTCATGATGATCCACTGCTGGGCAAAGGTTTCCCCATCTCCTTTCAAAGCTTTCTGTTCAGTGCTACCTCAAAGTAGTCCCTTTTAAATGCGTTTAGGTTGTCACGTCGTGGCTTCCTTAGCCGACCTCAGTGACCCTGTCTATTAGTAGGCATCCACTGGATGGAGATCTTTACCCACCTGTCAGGACCCATACGTCTATGTGATTCGCACAATCTCACTGTGGCGTATTACTGGCCATCATAATACGCCTTTTATACTTTTCTAATGATTTTCTATTGTCTTTTGTTTTACATTTCTGTCATTCGTAGTATTTTATGTTCTCCTACTGATGTAGATGAGATACAAGAGAACTACAATATCAAGCATTTAAATTATTTACCCGTTTCTCTTAACCACTTAAGTTGGACTGACATTTAACCTATGTTTTTAATGCCAGTTTGAAAGCGAAGTATGAGGTTGTATACACGATCCGTCCTCTTTAACTCTAAAACACTTCATTCCATTATTCTCTGGCAAACCTTGAGTCTGGACGTATTTTTATTAATTATCTAAAATTCTTCATTCTTCCTTCATTGCCATGAACACTAAGACAATAAACAAAATAGGAACAAAACAAAAATTAATTACAAACTAAACAAAAATTCTTGAAAGAGATACACTATGTAAACGAAGTTATCTTAACAACTGTAATGAAATAAATATACGTTAAATAAAGACAATGCGTTTGAATTTTTTTTACAAAATATTTATTTGTAGATTTCACTGTGTAAATATTTGTAAGGGTTTCGTACTAAAGATACGGTAAAAATGAATTCATTAGTCTGTAATAATAATTGTTTGTGTAATACGTTAATACGTATACAAATTATTGTTTACCGGCCAGTATTTATCTTTTTTAAAAGAATAATCATTAAATAGCCTTTTAATAGAAATCAATGAAAATATAAACAAACGCATAATGGACCCAATTTTAAGATATTCTGTTGATGTAGAATTGTAATTAAAAAAAAACATTAATTGAATGACTCTATAAGGCTATTTATTATTTTTTTTTTGTCGGGCAGGCCTTGAACATTTATCAATATGCAATCGAATATGTCCCGCGATAATTAGTCAGTTCTGTTGGTGAATTACCTATGCTAACAATAAACATATGTCACGAGAAATACATTATATAAAACTAATATTTATAGTATAAATAATAACAAACATTTTAAAGATAAATATTTAATATTACCACGAATATCATGTTAAAACGATAAACAATAGTCACGATATGGAAATAATTAAATTTATTATTGTTTTATAATGTGAAAAACGTTAAGGAAATATTGTAAATAACAGTAAATTTACAACATTTCCTAAACGTTTCAGATACTTCAATTTGTATTTGTCCTTTAGAAGTTACAAATTATTTTATTATCTTTAGGAAGATTATCGTCAATAAGTAAAGAGAAATAAATATTGGACAAGATTTAGACTAATACGACATAGTAGGGGCTATCCAGACAACAACGATTTAAAAAAGTCGTCTGCATATTTATTTTCATTGGTAGGATATGGTAATGAAATTGTAAGGTGCGAAGGCATAACACCACCATTAGGTGGGCCGTCAGCTTGTTTGCCATTCTAAGTTGCATAAAAAAAACCATAGTCTTCAAGACAATCGGTCTCTATGGGGTCAATCAGTAAGTCTATGGTGGAGACCTTTGTTCAACAGTGGACGGATAATGGCTGAGATTATGATAATGAATGTAATAATATGTTTAGTGGTATATTTATTTATTTTTTACTAGCTTTTTGTCTACTTTGTATGCGTGGATTTCAGAAATAGGAAATGTAATGAAATAAACTACTTCAAGATAGTGTATCGAGATAAAACATATATCAGATTTTAAGCTATATCTGTAAAAATAGCATCTAATTTGATGCAGTATTTTTGGGTGATGTCAGAACAAACATGCAGATAAACCAACAAACAAACAAAATTTCTAAAAGTTATTATTTTTGCCTCAGTTGGTTTTATTAAGACCTATCACATTGTTTAGTACAATTTTAATAATAAAATTGTACTAAACAATACATTAGGAATAAATTACTAATATAAATTAGGAAGATTAAAGTAATTTTTTTTATTTTTCAGCACCATTCACATGCACCAGGCCGAATGAACATTACGTAGCCTGTCCTCCACTGTGTCCTACTGATGACTGCAGCCAAGCGACACCTACCGGAGACTGTCCATCGCCGTTTTCAATTTTGATAGCCATCGCTTGTGCCCCAACGTGTCGTTGTATAGACCACTATTGGCGGCAAAACGGAACATGCGTGCCTTACGATCAGTGTGATAAAAAAACATAAATTAACTGTTTCTAAACTTCAATACAATTTACTTTAGCACCATGTTATATTCTAATCCTAATAAATATACATATTTGTAAGATGTTTATTAATTTTATATTTATGTTAGATAAAGGGTTTACAAAATAAAAATTCGTTGCTTCGTGTTACTACGTATTTAAAATTTTTCCCAAAAATTATAATATAAATCAAAATTACAATAACATCGTTATCCATCTGAAAAGTACACCGTAGCCAGAGTGAATCGATATTTAAAAAAAAAACAAGTATTTTCTACATTTATATGTCGTAAAACTCACGAGAAAGACGCGTGACGTACGTAGAATTAAATACGTATCCTAGATCATAAGTAAATTTTGGACTAGATCATATCAACCAATTAACGCTCCAAAGTACAGTTGTGCACGGGTGTCTTCCTTCGAATATTGAACCTGGGACTTTATTTACGCAAAGAAATCTAACATTGTGTCTCAAAAGTCAAATAAATATTAAAAGTATGCCTCCATATTTGATATCTCATTCCCGAAGATCACGATCTTGACCAAAACCCTTCTTCTATTTATATTTGTATCAGCCTTTTGAAAGGCAATATATGCCACTAACGAACTAAGGGTGATGATGACGTTTAGAGGTATCAGTCACCGCTCATCCAGTTTGATTGGTTCTTATTTTTAGTATAAAAAAATATAAATTTACCTTAAATTTACCTTCAAATAAATGACAAATTACTGGATAAAACAAGATAAAAGCAATGACGTCTTTATAACAGTGGTGAGCCAAGTCTGGTTGCCTTGAATATCTAATAGGTACTCAATTATTCGAGTATTGAAAACACACAATTCGAATACAGAATATTCGAATACATACAAGTTTCGAGTACGTACAATTTTTTAACACTAGACGCATGTTTATTGTTAGTTTTTACATTCATTTTTTATCATTTAAGCATCAATTAACTATTAAACAATTGCATATATTTTATCTTCATTTAAAATTAAGCTTCAGAAATCAACTGAAAACATAATCAAATGTGTAAAAATTCAAGTATTCGGGTATTTATTCGAGTCCTTAGATCCAAATTAGAATAATATATGATAATTGAATAAAAATACTCGAATACCAAAAAATGGCCGAAGCGGTTCATCACTATTTTATTGTATATTCATTAACTTGTACACACAGGTGGCTGTAAATATAATAAAAAGCCCTACTATAAATATAACATGCCAATATATAGCCACGAAAAAATTACTTTACGTTCATTTGAAGCAATTTCAACTATCTACATACTCAAAATGAAATTTCTCTTATATTTGGGATTATGTATTCTATTAACCGGCTGGGCTGGTGAGAATTATTTTTATATATTTTTGGCTTCTAATGCACTTATCAATATCATGAATTTTTCATAAATATCGTCTAATTACAATTTCATTATATTAGAAAAAATATATTTATTATATTGACTGTTTAAAGTCTAACCTGTATTCTGTTTCACTACAAAACCAATATCTATATACTCAAAATTGCTTGTCCTATACTATTTACTTATTTATTTTAATAGCAATTGGTGAACAATTCAAAAAATTATGGAAAACAAGATTTATTTTCACCATTACAGGATGGGTGCTTGAATAATTTAAATCTGCTATAATAAGATAGATAAAAGATCTAGTTTCAAACCCAAATAGAATAGATTGTTGCTTCACTATAATCATTGGCTACAACTATAATTATTGGAGTCACTAATACGATGTATTGATTACTTTATTAAAATATGCTGCGAACTAATCATTTATTTACAGCTGCAATAACATGCGGTAATAACGAAGTAGAAGAAGATTGCCCGCAAACTTGTACATACGATTATTGCCCCAAAAGTGCGGATGAACAAAACGTATGTAGAAACAATACTAGCAGTGATGGTGGATGCGTGGCAGGCTGCAAGTGCCGTTTCAACTTCCGCCGAGCTGACAATGGACAATGTATATCAACTAGAGATTGCCGTAAGTTCATCCTATAATCTTCAGCAATGACATTACATCGTCATCATAGAGAGGAGGTGGGATTGTTAGTAATAGTGATTAGCAACTCCATTACTCACAATATACCCTATCGGGTCAATCTCCACGCAGCTTCCCTTGGAAACCATCGTGATTGATTTATTGTTGAATTCGTTACGATGGGCTAATTAGTCGGCTTCATCCTCACCAATCATCCTTTACTGGTACCCCGCCTGTATATACCGATAGCGCAGCAGGGTTACTATTCCATTATCATCCATTGAGAAAACCTGTACCATGGGGGGAGAGGGAAGTTAGTAATGGGGTTGTTAACCCTAATTAATTACAAGGCGTTAATTCCAATTGCAATGTTGCCTTTGAGATCGACCTCCACGCAGTTCCCCCTGAAAGCCATTGTGATTAGAGCTTGTTTAATCCATCACAATGGGCTAGGTTTCATTCTCATCTATCACCACTCACTGATGCTGCGCCAGCATATATCGATAGCGCAAAAATAAAAAAGGTGAGGTTACCATTCTGTGCGAATGTCAATCACTAAGATTCACATAATCACATTAATCGTCTGGATTAGTGTGATTCACATAATTACTTATTATCTTTATCATTATATTTTTACTTTAACAAAATTTACATACTTAAGAGGGGAGATGGCAAACTAACCCCTGACAGAAGGGCACTAGGGAGAGAAACCGCTGTACTATGCGGACAGTATCTAAGAGCACCGCTTTCTACGTTTTTCTTGGAAGCGAACCTTGGAATTCCAACCATCTGAGATGTTGTTCCAAACTGGTTGGAAAAGGCCGTTCATCAACAGGCCTGGGATTGGGATGATTTCTGTGGACGCCACCCCCACATTTCGGTCACCCCGTGAGTCAAGTGGAGATATTTTTTCTTCTTCTCGATTTCAACTTTCACGAGGTTCTCGTCATGCGGTATGGTGACATCCACTGAAAACATCCTCCAGAGTGCCCGATCCTACACTACAATATCAGATTTGTTGGCAAGAACTTTCCTGTCCGTGATGATGGATCGGTCATTAATCATCATTATTATTATGATCTTTATTATTTTTAGCGCCGTTTGCCTGCACTGGTGAAAATGAACACTACGACCCATGCCCACCATTCTGTACCGACAATTGCGGTGTCCGAAATCCAGACGGAACATGCAAGACCATCGGCAGAATTGGAATTGTCCTCGAATGTTTCCCAAAGTGTCGATGCGTAAGTGGATACAGCAGATTGAACGGTGTTTGCGTTCCTAATGCAGACTGCAACAGTGACTAAATGTATATTCAATATTTTTGAAAACGTATTTGCTGTAATCAATAAAAGTAAATCATTAAAACCTATCGTGTCTGATCATGTTATTATTTTGAAATAAACTGCTTTTTATATTATGTATTAAAAATTATGGATGATTAAAAAATTATTAACTAATTTTGTTAAAATTATATAAATTTCTAATAAAGTGTTATCAAATAAGTGTATATATTATTGTCCAAAATGATTAAAGCCTTATCAATCAATCAGTCATTCATTTTTCCAAAATAGATACGATTATAAATACATAATTATGTATACATACATTTATAATAGAGCTCTTAATAAAACAAAATATTAAATAGGATATTTCAAATCAGTCTCTCTATCTATTTTACTGCTATCGCCGTGTGGTTTCGGGGTAGAATGGACTATGCCTTTCTTTCCCGTAGGTTTAGTGAGAGGCGACTAAAGGAACTTAATGGTGTAGAGTTGGGCAAAAGCTCTTAAAACATCAGCAAAAGTCTAATTGTGGTTGCCAATCCACTTGTTAAACGTGAAAACTCTCCCTTATGGAAAAGGCCTATGTTTTGGGGTGGACAATTAATGACTGATATGGTGAACATGATCCATCTACATTGCATTCAGAGTAGGTACACTACTAGTCACTACTATTTACACTAAATTATATCTATTTGTTATTGTTTTAATTAAATCTTTATATTTCTGTTGGTAACATGCGACCGAGTAACGATAAATATTTAAATTTTCTGATAATAGTACAGCGGATGATGGGGGGTATCATGGGCGAAACAGTATACTCTGTTATATCCATGGTACTGCTCATGTCTATAGGCGACGGTTACCACTTTCCATCAGGTGGACCGTCAGCTTTTTTAGTTTATCTATTACAAAATAACATCAAATGTTTCCTCTTTAGACTTAATATTAGTTTATACTAGCTATGTGCCCCCCGGCTTCACCCGTGTGAATTAGTAAGTACATAAAGTATCTTAAGTGCAAATCTGTTTAGTAGTTTCTGCATGAAAGAGCAACAAACATCCATACATCCATCTTTTCAATCACCAATTATATTATTCGCTATAATAATTACACTATTAATTTTATTTTTTATTATATAAGAAAACAGACAAATACAGATTTTCATAAATAAAAATAAGATATAACAAAATCGCTAATACGTACAATCAATTGAATGCAGTTTAAAGTAATATGTATGTAACATTGTAGATAGGCAAATGCAAAATAAAAAGTTATAATACTATAACAGTATTACTATCAATTTATGACAAAAATAATTATCGTAAATACCAAGTTGGACTCATCATGTTTTTATATATACCTAATATAGGTGCACGATGTATAAATAAAAACGTGATAAAAAGGCCACGAGAATTCTCATTTGTTTCATTCCTGAGTTGCAAGACTATACGCAATGAAGTGCTTATTATATTTATGTCTATGGTGTTATTGTGTACTAGTAAGCAGTAGCATAGGTGAGATTTCATTATTTTACTAATGATAGAATTGAATATTATTCTTAAAAAAATAATAGCTTTTTTATTTATAAGTTATAAATATAAAAATAAAAAATATGCTCACTATAATCACAGTATAAAGTACTTTCCCTGCACTGAGTTATACCATAAACGTAGTATAAGGTACTACGTACGTACGTACGGGAGAAAGGGATTGATACTAACAGAGTATAATAGCCTCATTATATATATATATATATATATATATATATATATATATATATATATATATATATATATATATATATATATATATATATACGATATATATACATACATTTAGTCTTAATAATTTTTTAATGTGGATAAAGAATTATCATAAAAGTTGACACACTCAAAAATACAGTCAGATTGAGAAGTTTTACCTAAAAATGAAGCACTGAAAAACTTAACGATAGCAACTGGTTTTAACAGCTGTTTGGTAATACTTGTTTATAATATTGGAATTCATTATAATTCTAATAAAATATGTAAACAAGTATTTACTTTGTTACGGCTAAACATAATGTGAATAATATAGTTCCACACTCTGTCTACGTCAGACATAATAATATAATGATAATTTTGAACAATTTATGTCTTCATATTATTACATTTTTTTTAATGAAAAGTTTGCAATGTTGTTAATTTAGGTACTAATATATTATTATAATATCTGTGGTTTAGGTCAAATCTTGTAAGCTGAATCTAAATCATTTTTTGACATATAATTGACCTAAAATTTTGAATACACTACATATTTGTTCTGATGACAATGCAATATTCAATACTCATTATTGTAATATTCACAAAATGGCCGTCGCCACAAAATGGCGGATGGTGTGTATTTTGTCAACCCTATTAATACGGGTATCAAACGAAAAAACTTGAAGATTAGATAACGATAAATGTCATTTTTTTAAATATTCTGTTCCAACAGAACTTAATAAAAAGGTAATCAAGTTTTGTTGCAACTATCACAGTAGTACTATCTAAATGATATTAATACAAATACAAATTTAAATATTCAATCAACTAATCGAAATATGGTTTGTATATAGTTATCAGCAGTTTTCAATCGATTTAAAAAAGAGGTTCTCAATTCGATTGTATTTTTTTTTATGTATGTTACCTCATAACTCTTAGTTGTAAACAGATTTCGAAAATTCTTTTATGAGTTTACAGATATATGCTTACAGATTTATGTCACAGATATTTTAACATTGGTTCAGTAGTTTTTAAATCAAAATAATTGACTTTGCCATAATTGAAGCCTGTTTTGTTTTTGTGGAATACAGTCTTAATTATTATTATAGTCGGGTAGTTATTTGATTGTTTATACTTTCATTAAGTTCTATTGAAATGGACTGTTATTAATAGACTATTTGTACGTCAACGAGATAATTTATTATAGAGTTTTATTTATAGTATATGTAGGTACTTAGCTAGTGCCTTTACTTGATTAATCTACAAAATATATAGGTAATATGTAAGATAAAGACTGGGTAAATCTAATCTTACTCATAATTATACAGAATAAAGTGAGAAAAAAAACTTTCCGTAATTGCAGTTATTTGAGAACGTATTAATGGCTTAGATGAATCGACTCTATATTCTTTAGTTGCCTCTTATTATATGAAAATGAGTGGTGGCATTCACATTTTTACTTCATCGTCAAATAAATAACGATAATTACATCACTACAATGTTTTAGATCAATGATAGCTAGTCAAATTTATATATAAACTAGCATTTTACTTACTACATTTCATGCAATATAATACAAACCAAGCAATAGACCACTTATAGATTGTGTATCAAGATAGAACATTCATCATTTTTTAAGTTAAATCTTCAGGAATGCCGGTACAAACATACAGACAAATAGATAGATAAAACTACTAAAAACTACTGTTTTCGCCACTACAAGTCTTTTTTTTATACAACTTAGAATGGCAAACAAGCTCACGGCCCACCTGATGGAAAGTGGTAACCGTCGCCTATAGACATGAGCAGTACCATGGACATAACAGAGTATAACGTTTCGCTCATGATACCCCCCATGCGTTGCCATTCCTGAGGACTCAGGTGTTATTCCTCTGTACCTTGTAAATTCACGCCATATCCCACCCTTCAAACCGAAACACAGCCATGCAAACACAACTGCTTCACGGTAGAAACACGAATGGGATATACCCAAGCAATCGACTTTTGTACAAAGTCTCCCTCTGGTAAATCTTATTAAGAACCCTCATACTTATAAATTTTTCTCAAATATCTCTCAAGTTGTCTCAAAGTTACAATTTTATTATAATAATAGGATACTAACAATATTTTTCACATGCAGTCCTAATTTGTAACGGTGGACACGAATACTACGAGTGTGGTGGAGCCTGCGATAATGTATGTGCAGATTTACATATACAGAATAAAACAAACTGTCCCATCATTAATATAAGATGTAATGACAAGTGCTACTGTGAAGACGGTTATGCAAGGGATGTCAACGGCAAATGTATACCGATAAAAGACTGTCGTAAGTATTTCCATATTTTGATTTAAGTACTGATACTGATGATTACTTTTTTCTAGTTTCTATCTTAATTATGGCCGTGTGGTCCCGGTTATAGAATAGGCGACCCCTTTCCCGTGGGTGTCGTGAGAGGCAACCAAGGGAAGGCGAATGATAGACAGCAGCGTCCCTCTTAAAACATCTCCAAAGCCTAAATGCGGTTGCCAATTCGCCTACCAAATGTGGCAGCTACTGGCACAACCCCCCAAATGGGAGGCTTATATTCAGCAGTGGACAGTTAAAGGCTGATATGATGATGATGATTCCGAATGCTGATTAAACATTTTAAAACTTTTCAAAGATATTCATATTTTACTAATAGTAATGATGACACTGCAGACTATATAAACATTACAGTGTAAGCCTAAAAAACTTTTAAGCCTAAAAGCAGATTTCTCCAAGAAGAATAGCAAGCACATCTTATATAGATACTGCAGCGTTACCCGATTGGTTACTTTTTTCACTAATTTTGGAGAAATAGTTTTCTATTTACATGTAAAACGGAAATTTTATGAACTTACTGTGCTTGTCGTTTCTTACAATGCTATATTACATTTTTACGACGTGATTTAGAAATCTTCTTTAGGCAGCATACAGCGCATTGTCCCCATCTTCACGGGCTCTGCGAGCTGCAGCTCGCAATTCGAGGCGAGACGCTGTAACCCACAGCGTCGTACGCCCCTTGAAGAAGACTTCTGAATGAAGTGGAAACAATTGTCAGAAATAACAAACACAGTAACTTCTTAAAAAAATAAACAATTCATGAAATCTTGGAAAACCAAATACTTGGTGAAAAGAGTAATAAGCTTAGAGAAATTTAGTTAATTTTTTGACAGTTGAATACAATAAAAATTGTCAACGAAGGTAGCAAAATAGAGGATAAGAGAAGTCAAGCGCAAATCGTAACGAAAATCGACAAGTTACACTGGTTAAAAAAGTGAAGAAATTGTATCGATTTAGAGAAAAAAATATTTGACATATAGATAGAAATCAAAAACAACATTTGACAACCAAAGTGGTACTTATATTAAATATCATTAACGCACACATTTGGCGGTAAAATCATAAATAATGACAATTTAATAATGCTTTAAATTTAATAATTAATTTTACTGGAACGAAAATGACTCTTGTTCTTAACATTTTTTTTTTTATTGTATTATTCCAGCTGTAATTTTAACCATACACCGCATTTAGGATGTGTTCACATAGTTTTCACGCTTTTAGTAAAATTTGAAATGATGTTTTTATTTTCTATATTTTTTAATTTAAATTATTTTTCAGCTAAAATACGTTCGCGTCGTTCCATTGGGATACCAGTCGATAAGATTAATATCTAATAATTATCTAATATTTAAGTATAAAATAAGTTTTTTTTTAATGGATGATAATGGAATGGTAACCCCACCCGCGCTATCGGTGTACTCCGGCGGGGCACCAGTGAAGAATGATAGGTGAGGATGAAGTAGGTCAGTTAGCCCATCGTGACGAATTCAACAAGAATTGTTCACGATGGTTTCCAGGGGGACCCACGTGGAGGTCGACCTAATAAGGTATATTGCTAGCAATGGGGCTGTCAAACTCCATTGCTAACAATCCTTTTCCCCCCAGTATAAAATAAGTAGGTCTTAAGATGAACATAGTCAAGACTAAAATCATATCTTATGTCCACGTCACGCCTGTAACGGTCATAATTGAGAACACTACGCTCGAAGTTGTTGACGAGTATGTATACCTGGAACAAGTTGTCCGAATAGGTAAGTCCAACATCATTCCCCAACCTGTGTGTTCACGAGTGGAAAATCCTCTGAAATCACACTGTTCGTGACAATTCTGGGTCTAAAGTGTGAGGATGGATTCCCTGCTGATGGGAGCGTACGATGGTGCAAATTGACTGTATGTATCATATTGAAGAATTCTTCAGAACACAATGCGTTATACAGCAGGACATTTGAACGCACTTATCTCTGGAAAAACCACTTAGATTTTAAAAATATTTTTTTATTTCATCGCTCAAGTTATAAGCTATTCGACATCACGATATGATCACGAGTGAAACTGTGGGATACAGCTAGTGGGATAAAGTGTCCCTCAAAAAATTCATTGTTAAATTTTGGGCAATTTTAAGGTTTGAACCTTTATTTAGAAATTTATTTCTAAATAATGGTTAATTTATAAATGATCATTCCTTTAGGGTGACTGTTCTATGGAAAAGTATGACAAACCTAATAATTTTTTTATGTTTACCAGAGGGAGACTTTGTACAAAAGTCGTTTGCTTGGGTACCATTCGTGTTTCAACCGTGAAGCAGTTATGTTTGCATGGCTGTGTTTCGGTTATATGGCGTGAATTTACAGGGTACAGAGGAATAATACCTGAGTCCTCAGGAATGGTAACGCATGGGGGTATCATAGGCGAAACAGTATACTCTGTTATGTCCATGGTACTGCTCATGTCTTTAGGCGACGGTTACCACTTTCCATCAGGTGGGCCGTCAGCTTGTTTGCCATTCTAAGTTGTATAAAAAAAATTTAAAATACAAAGAAGCTAACGGCTCACCTGATGGAAAGTAGTAACCTTACCTTGTACATAACCTTGAAGCTCATTAAATTGGTAAATTTTTATAAGGAATAAAAAGAGTGACAAAAAAATCAATTGATATGCAAATTCCTTAATTTAAAAAAGTGAATTACTATTTTGTTTGTAATAACTATTTATTATTTAAAGCTTTTTTTTATACAACTTATAATGGCTAACAAGCTGACAGCCCATCTGATGGAAAGTGGTAACCGTCACTTAAGACTAGTAGTAGTAGTAGTAGTAGAAGAAGAGTAGTAGTAGTAGTAGACTTGAACAGAATATACTGTTTCGCCCATGATACCCTTCATGCGTTTCCATTCCTGATATTACGCCTGATGATAACCTATCATGATAAATAAACCTGGAATTCAGCACGATAGTTTCCAGGAGGGGCCACGTGGAGGTTGACCTGACAGGATATAATGCTAACAATAGGACTGGTAGTCCGCGTTGCTAACAATCCTTTCCCCCCATTCGGGTATTCACGCGGGCGGAGCCGCGGACTCCGCCTCCGTGGATTAACAGCTAGTGATACATACAAAAGCAAATATTTTCATGTTTATCCAAAACAGAATTTGTAATTAGTTGTTTTCAATAATATTTAATAATTCTTTGCGTCATCCTTATATTATATAGGAAAGTTTTAATTTATTTTAACAGCTGATTAAAGCACGCATAAAATAATAAACAGTATAAAGAACTATTAGAATCCTTATACTGTGGTCTTAAATTATACAGATAGAGACTCTTGGTATCGATGCCCTATCGAAGGGATTGTTAGTAATGGAATAGTTGCTATCAATATACCCTGTCAGGTCGACCCTCATGCGGTTTCACCTGGAAACCATCGTGATTAATTTATCGTTGAATTCGTCACGATGGGCTAACTGGCCTGCCTTTTCATCCTCACCAATCATCCCCCACTGGTGACCCGCCAGCGTATACCGATAGCGCAGACGGGGTACCATTCCATTATCACCCATTAAAAAAAAAACTCCGTATCGATGTACATTGAGTACCATCGCCCGCGAAATTGTAATGACTACAAAATACTTATAAATTGTATTCATTCTATTTCCAAAATCTTTGTAATATAAGTTAAATTATGTTTATTATGAACTTTTCTGTCAACAATAATACCTGGATAATTCCAGGTATTATTAAATAGCTGATAAGATATGAAAGAACTTTGAATAAAATAATATTCCTGAGTGAAAACACTGTGATAACTGTAAATAGTAAAAAAAGAGAAAAATATTATAACGACAGTGTTTGAGCAACAATGAAAATTGTCGAAGTCTTAGAAATCTGAATTCTATATGATGGAATATATAACAAAAAAAATTATACATAATATAAAAATGTCGACTTAACATGTTGCTAGCAATAACGATGTTAAATAATATGCACTAAATATATAATTAGGAATTTAGATTAAAATTTATTTGTTTACGTGCTGCGTGCACAAATGTGGTCTATTTATAATTATATTCCAAGTAGAGACTATTTCGTGTAGCCTCGCCTTACGTTTCGCATTTCCAAGATTCTTTTTTTAAATCTCACTTTTTTTTGTCTCAGAGAATGCCGTATAAAATGAAATTAATTTCAAATGCCTAAACATTTAAAACCAATTACACTTCGCTAACGGGACACTAAGCGTAATGGTAAATTTGCGGTTTATTTACATGATTTCTTCTCAAGTTTCTCAGTTTTCATTTGAGTTAAAAGTTTTATAATTTTATGATATTGTGATATGATATGTGGTTTGAATTGTATTGATTACTTGAAACAATATATGTATTAATCGAACGCAATATTTAAATATATGATGGTGAGTACATTCATTATTATAATGTGGTTCTCGTTTAGTATGGTTAAGTACTAGTTTTTAGTTGCGATACATTCAATGAACATATTTCGTAACAGGAATATGTTAGATTGATAAATAAAATAGGTAAATAAATAAATATAATAATAATCTATACTTATAATAAATCTGTAGAGAGTTCAATTCTGTACATGAAATATATTTCCAAAATAACTATTATATAACAGGGGGTGATTAGTGATCGATACTGATGCCAAAAATGCAATTAGTAAATATTTTTCTGTCCGTCCGTATGTTCGTTATACTAGAAACAAAAACTACTCGACGGATTTTAACGAAACTTGGTACAATTATTCTTCATACTCCTGGGCAGGTTATAGTATACCTTCAATCACGCTACGATCAATAGAACCAAAGCAGTGAAGAGAAATGTTAAAAATGTCCACCCGTGCGACGCCGGGTCGGGCCGCTAGTGATAAATAAGACGAGACGCCCCACAATAGGGTCCCTTTAAACCTGAATAAATAGTAGCCAACGTCCTTTTCTATCCTATATAGTATCCCTCTTATTCATAAAAACGTCAACCGTCTCATAAACCTATTTCAGCTATTGAACTTTTTTGTCTCTTTCTTTTTTCTTTTACACTACATTCCCAATTTGAATGAAAGTGTTAAAACAGTTCAATACCTAAAATAAGTTTGCAGTATGTTACTTTTTATGTATTATAAAATATGAATAAATAAATGAAATATAATTATGAAAAAGAGAGACGTGTATACAGAATTTCATGGTGTCATAAAGCTGTCAGGCAATAGGGCATAAAATTCTTTATAGAAAGAGGATTTTTTTTATACAACTTAGAATGGCGAACAAGCTGACGGTCCACCTGATGGAAAGTAGTAACCGTCGCCTATAGACATGAGCGGTGCCATGGATATAACAGAGTATACTGTTTCGTCCATGATACCTCCCATGCGTTGCCATTCCTGAGGACTCAGATGTTATTCCTCTGTACCCTGTAAATTCACGCCACATCCCACCCTTCATACCGAAACACAGTCATGCAAACACAACTGCTTCACGGTAGAAACACGAATGGGACAGAGGTACCCAAGCAATCGACTTTTGTATAGTCTCCAACTCTGTCTCGAATATATTGTCCATATATTTGCTTTCAACTACCGACGAGCTGAGAACGGAACGTGCATACCAACTAGAGCTTGTCGTAAGTTTCAATCTAGATATTTACCTACATAATAAACTAGTTGATCTTATCCTATGTCCTTTAACTTGCACTCTACCCCCAAGCTAGCTAGCTATAGCTACTCAAGTTTGTGGTGTAAGTAAGAGGAAGGATGTTAAGATGAGAATGAATGTATGGTGGGATGGCGAAGTGAAAGAAATGGTGGCTCTAAAGAAAAAGGCATGGATGGATTTGTTAGCTACCAGAGCTAATAAGAGAATGCAAGGTAATGTAAGTGACATTGAAAAAATTGCAAAAGAGAAGTATGATGTAATGAAAAAGAAAGTTAAAGAATTAGTTACAAAAAGAAAGAGGAATGTAAGGATGAGTATGAAAGGAAATTCTCTAGAAATTTTCGAGCTAATCAAAAGCTTTTCTGGCATTTAGTTCGAACAGCTAGAGGTAAAAAGAGAGATCCGAAAATGGGCGTGAATGGATGGTAATGTTATCACGGAACACTCAGATCATTGGAAGAGATATTATTATATTAGAAAAGATTATATCAGACGGTTTTTTGTTATATTATTACATTTTTACATCAACTAAATAATTTTATTATGTTACAGCATGTGGATACAAAGAGATCGAAGTTTCTTGTCCAAAGAATTGTACATACGACTCATGCCCGAAATCAGCTGATGAAAAAAATGAATGCAAAAGTAATACGAAGAGTGGTGAAGACAATGACGAAAGCTGCGTACCAGGCTGCAAGTGTGCTTTCAACTACCGACGAGCTGAGAACGGAACGTGCATACCAACTAGAGCTTATCGTAAGTTTCAATCTAGATATTTACCTACATAATAAACTAGTTGATCTTATCCTATGTCCTTTAACTTGCACTCTACCCCCAATTATATATTCTCAATCTGTCCAATAGAGTAGGCATCGGCAGTTTTCACGGGCGACCGTCTGCTCCCTATCAATAAAAAAAAAAAAAACTTTAATTGTGACAAAACTAACAATATTAATTTAAAAATTAAAGTGAACTGATTTTGATAAAATGTTTATGGGCCCAATTTGTACGTACGAGTATATACTTTCAGATCAAAAAATCCAAATCGGTTTAAAACTAGAGTTATGAAGTAACAAACATAAAAAAATACAACCGAATTGAAAACGTCCTTCTTTTTGAAATCAGTTGAAAAATAATCAAAAACTATAATATGAAATCACATGGACTTGTTGATGTTGAAGCATCGCTTGCTGTTTGATGTTAGACTTAATGAACTATAAATATAGATACCATTTCTGTTATTATTTTCAGCACCATTCGACTGCCCTGGAGAGAACGAACACTATGATCCATGCCCACCATACTGTACCGACAATTGCGGTGCATTGAAAGCAGATGGAACATGTAATATTGTCGGACGGATTGGAGTCATACTACAATGTTTCCCTAAGTGTCGCTGCAATAAAGGATATGGCAGGTTGAATGGCATCTGCGTTCCTAATTCGGACTGCAAAAAGAATTAAACTAATGTAAAAGTATACAGATTGAAATTGAGATTATTACTGAACAAAAGAAATAAAAAGAAGAAGGACGAGGAATGGGCAGCAGCGTTCCTTTTAAAACGTAACCAAAAGCCTAACTGCGGTTACCGACCCGCCCGTTAAACGTGGTCACTACTCGCAAAAGCTGCCTTATGAAGAAGGCCTCTGTTTAACAGTGGACAGTTAATAGCTGATGATGATGACGTTAAAAAATATAGATTGAATAATGATAAAAAATTTTGAACTTCCTTGATTTGATAACTGCATTAACCATGATGCTGTTGCTACCGTGAATGGCTCAAGATCTTTTTATCGTTTTACGACGGATATTTCTTCAGAAAAAAAATTGTTTTAAAAAGAAACCATTAATTTTGGTTTCACCTGTATACTATAATTTATTTATAAATAAACGTGCTAATAAAAAAATTGTGACCCCTATTTTACTGTTTTTTTTTTTTTGTTTGTTATTCCAAGTTTTTTAAAAATACTAACACAATAAAAAATAAAACACATAAATATGTAAAAGCACATAATTAAATAAGTATTTGTTAATTAAATAATTATGTGTGTAAGGAAATATTTTCCGTATGGTGCTAGTGCCAATTAGATTTCAAAAATTTACAAATAAAATATTTATGCCAATGTAGATTCTAACTACAGTACCGTTGATTGGTTATGGCCTACGGTTTAAATGAATTATTTGCACTATAATAAGCTTGCAGATTGTATAGATATTTTTCTGCTTGTTTTTAGTAAGTTTAATTTGCTGTGGTTAATTAATTAATTATATTTATTATAATTAATTAATTAATATTTATTATGATTTTATTTGTTATAGTGATTATATTTATGATTTATTTATTTTGTTTCTTTATTATTTGCTTTTTCCTATTTCATTATTAAATTTGTTTTATTTATTTATTTATTTTATATTATGTTTTTTTTATTTTATTATTTATTTGTTTTTTCCAATATTAATGTCTTTTTATACTAAAATTGTGTATCATTTTCTGTGCCGTCCATTACCATTGCTCCTAAGTCTATTGATACAACAGAAATTGTGAAGTTGTGGACAACCTCCGGTCACAGAATAATAGAGAAGGAATTCTCTTTTGATATGCCGAAATAAAAAAAAATACATAATTTTATCATAAACAAATTATAGCCTACTTTTGAATCATCGAATGTTAATTTTTCTCTTTTATACCAAAATAAATTACCACGAATAGGCGTTAAAATGAAATCAAACGGACCGATAGTTTCAAAGTTACGCTGCCATTTTGATCCGCAATCTTAGATTTCTCAACTTTCAGATTTTTCTCGTGATCAGCCCGTCGACTTGAGTTTTTCATCGCTACCTCATATCTATATAATACAGAATGAACGACTACTTCAATGAGTGATATGAATTGCAGCTTTATATATTATAAACTAAAGATAAAATGCTGCATGAACTTCGAGAAACCCGTGAAGTTTTTAATGTTTTTCTTTTATGAAGAAGAGTTTTTCAAATAGACCAATAAAACAGTTCAGATATGGCACTTGATCATCGAATATAAATCACTGCGGCTCCGTGTGACAGGACTGTCATTATATATTCAACAAAAACTATCGAAAACAAATAAGAGGAAAAGGACCAATCTGGAGTATATGAATTACGCATATATACCGATGACCCCAAAACTAAGAGCCGTTCAAGAGTAGGAGTCTTTTACTTAAACCTTAATAAAATCATACACGTACCGCTTGGCGAACACAGGTCAATATTCGAATGCGAATGTGTAGTAATAACTGAGGCTGCTGCTACTTTACATTAGCTACAAATAAATGATATTGGCATTAGACTTTTATCTGATAGCGCAGCGATATTGAAAGTATTACGGAACAACAAGACAAATAAAAAATTAATAATCGAATGCCACCGGGCACTGGATAAGAAATTTAATAATTGAGTTATCCTTCAGTGGATAAGGGGGCACAGTGGATCTTATGATAACGATGCCGCAGACGAACTAGCTAAAAGGAGTTCTGGAACGAAGGTGGCAGGCCCGTATCCACTTCTTCCGTTTTCGCTTCCGTTCTCGTAGTTTTGAACATGATGTTCATAGGATACTGACTGCAGACAATTAAAATTAGCCGTGCCAACATTGAATAAACGACTATCAGAACATTTATTATATCTAGACAGGAAAAACCTTAAAACAATGATAGGGACAATAATGGGCCATTGTCCATTAAACAAACAATTATACACAATAGGAGCCACAGACAGACCTCTATGTTGAGACTGTTTTGGTGCCGAAGAAAGGACTGTTCACGTAATCCTGGAAAGTGAAACTGTGACCCCTCAACAATTAGAAATCCTCGGAACAGTGAGGTCACTCCGTGAGGCCTGTGAAGATCCCAAGTAGCTTTTGTACTTCTGGGCAGAGCTGAGCTGGCTATACTAGCCATGACTCATACACACAACGGCCCAAATGAGAGACTAAGCGCGGGAAATGTAATTTACATTACATGGTACTTGATCCACTCACGCAACAAGCACTTTTCTAAAGTAATCTGTCAATTTTAAACTTTTTCCAAAAAGGTTCAAATTTTTTGGTCAATAACCTTAAATCAAGTAAACTCTAAAAAAAGTAAAAATTTTCACATTAAGTCGTCTTTTATTTTTCCACGTTCTGAATTCTTACTAATATTATAAATGTGAAAGCGAGTTTGTTTGTTACCTCTTGAACTCTTAACGACTTTACTTATATATTTATGAAGAGAAAAAGCATACAGAATACTTTTTATTTCAGTCATTAAACATATCGCGATAACGCTAACGAAATCGTGGAGAAAAGCTAGTTTTTCATAAAAATTTGAATAAAAACCTGATGACATTGAAAAATGATCATGATATTATTTAAAAAAAAAAATTAAAAGGGATAATGGAATTATATTGAGAATATATCTCAGATCGTTCATGATTATTTCCTATATTGTATAATGCAAATAATACTCATTCATTCATTCATTATTTCATTCTCATAATATTTATATTTTCTTCTGTAGTTGTCAAGTAGATATCTATTGTTTAGGTACCTAAAATTTACATAAAAATAAAAATCTACATTTCTCAACCAAAAGTTAAAAATTTGTAGTGATAATTAAGGACACAATAAAATTACTTTGATAATAATAATTGATAACGTTTAATTTTTATAGTAAAATTTGCATATTTTACAATTAAAGAAATAACAATAAAACAGCTGAACACACCTTTCTACATACGTACGAACATCAGCCGACGGTATAAAAAATATAAAATGCAGACTTTTGTCCCACTGTGTTTTAGTACATACATAAATACAGTTATCATATAAAAAATATTCATTAATATAATCATGTTTAAATTGTTTTCTTTTGTTGTCATCTCTATAGTGTGGTTAAGCGCGACAAGCGCGACTGGTTAGTATTTCATTTTCTTTTTAAAGCGATACCTGGCCATAACTGGGATATCCTGAGTTGTGAGAAATCCAATCCTGTTTAAAGTCATTTCATTCCTCAATTAATCGAACCAACAACGAACGCACAACCTTATATTCGCAACGATTTGAAGAGGATATTATCGTTTTAAGTATAAGCTTTTCAGTCAGTGGTCACTCTATTCTCACTCTCTCTCTCTCTCTCTCTGGTTTATCGTAGTAATCGTTGTCGTTGTTCATATAATATAAAAAGCTACATTTAAATAGTAATTAATAAATTATACGAAACTAGCTTTGATCCGTGATCTTTATGTGTGGGATATTATTATCATTTACTGGGATAAAAATAGTTTATATCGTTGAATTCGTTACGATGGGCTAACTGATCTACTTTTTCATTCTCACCTGTCATCCCTCATTGGTACCCCGTTTGTTTAATGGATGATAATGGAATGATAACCCTGTCCGCGCTATCGGTTATACACAGGCAGGGCACCAGTGAAGAATGATTGGTGAGAATGAAAACAGGTCAGTTAGCTCATCGTGACGAATTCATTTATAAATTGGACACAACAATTTCCAGGGGGATCCGCGTGACGGTCGACGGTTGATAGCAATGAGAACTAACCTTCCCATTACTAACAATTCCTCCCCCCCCCCTCCATTGGTACCCCGTTAGTGTATACCGATAGCACAAGCTGGGTTACCATTCCATTATCATCCATTAAAAAAACATACTACATCATTCCTTTATTAGGTAAGATCATCATCAATCGCGAGATCGAGATAGGAGTTTTAGACTGTCGGGACAAAATCCACACAATCTCTGTTGGAAATCATTGTGGTTGATTCCTTTTCAATTCGCCACGACAGGCCCGCGACTTTGTCCGCACGTAACAGTAGATAAAATATTCTAGTTGCTAAGTCTTTAGTAAACTTTAATAAACGGATAGATAGCTTTTGCACGAAAGAGTTACTAACATTCATCCATCATTACAATTTTTTCCATATTATAATAAGATAGCATTTGTAGTTGCTGAGAAAAACCTCTGTGACAGATAGATGGATAAACTACCACCACAAGGGTTCGTTTTTGCTACAGAACCCCAATTATTAATTTTCATTTCACAAATTTCAGACAAGAAATGCTGCACAGGTCCTAACGAACACTATGACGAAGAGAAAGTAAGCTGTCCTCCAGAAACCTGTATCTCCCTTGTGGCTAAGTTTTCCTGCATTGACTCCCCTCCACCGTCGCCAGGGTGTTCTTGCAATTCAGGATACTTAAGACTTAACCTAACTTCACCATGCATACCAATTTGCGATTGTCCACAAATGCAACATTCCCCTGATTGTCAATAATAAAAATTACTACAGAAACATGACTTCTTCGAAGAGGTTAATAAAATTATTAACAATAAAAAAAAACTTCATATTTGTTGCTGTCTATAAAAAAAAAAAAACCAACTTTAGTCATGGCAAAACCAGTTATTTTTATTTTTAAACTGCTAAAACGATTTTGATAAAAATTCTATCCTTTATATTCTTTTAGATAAAAAAAAAATATTTTATGAAATAGTAACTAACATAATTATTATACCGTTTTCTAAACGTACATTAAAAATGTATGCTTTTTATTAAAGATTTAATATACATTAAAAATTTTGATTTGTGGACTTTGTTTTTGTTTCTTTATATTTACTCAACATTGCATAGTCCCTACGTTTATTTCAACCTACATGGATACTAGATAACTGATGGACATTTTTTTTAAATATATGCATAAAAAAACCTATGCTAATACAAAAAGGCATTACCTACCCATGAATACAAATGTCTATATTGATCAGGAATCGAACCCGCGTCTGTTGGAAGACATGACAATATGTTAAAGGTGTATATAACAATCTGAACTGGACGTCACTATGTATATAAATAGAACAGCAATGTTTGTCCGGCAGAACTTGTCAGACTACTGTGTTAGTAACATGAGGGGATTTTTGCTAATATTGTTTGTTGGATCCACCGTTTTTTCCCTCTCCGCAGCAGATAATGGTAAGGTTTATTTATTATTCACATTAAATTGTATAAACACGACCTTGGTGGTATAACATTTCTGTATACAGACTGCCTTGCATTACGTGACAATAATTATAGGAATCCCGCACAATACGAATATAATTACATTATATATTTTTTTTTAATGGATGATAATGGAATGGTAACCCCGCCTGGGCTATCGGTATACACTGACGAGGCACCAATGAGGGATGATAGGTGAAGATGAAGCAGGTCAGTTAGCCCACCGTGACGAATCTAACAATAAATTAATCAAGACGGTTTCCAGGGAGAACCACGAGGAGGTCGACCTGACAGGGTATATTGATAGCAATGGGGCTACTAATCCCCATTACTAACAATCCCTTCTCCCCCCAATTACATTACATTAAAAATAGACAAATATAATAACACCTGTATTTAAGACCTATACTTAGATAGAAATATGTATTTACAAAAAATATTTAAGTAGGTACGTAGCTTAGCTTGGGACTAGACGGCGTTCTGTAACATAGAAGTTAAAATAAAAAAGTAAAAATTTATAGGTACATACTTTCATTTCAGATTAAATTTAATAAGATTGTTTCATATAATTTAAGATTACGTTTTACAAAAAAATACAGTAGTAAAACCAATTATTTTGATTTAAAAACTAAAATATTGACCCGATATTAATAAAAATGTGTGTGTGGGGGATGAATCTGAAAGTATGCTCTTTTAGGTAAAAAAAAAAAGAATGTCCCAAATCGATTTATAAATGATGGGAGTTATGAGATAACACATGTAATTTCTTTTTTGTACCCGAAGGTGACAAACAGACATAATTCCTGTCTGATAGTAAACGGCCACTGTAGCCTATGGACGAAAAAACTATTTTGACAAGTAAGATTTGAGTTTACCACTCATTACTAATATTTTAAACCGGACATAGCCTTTACGAATACCTAGTTAAGGATTTTTTTGTAATTATTTTGTATTCGAATGGAAAGTTAATAGTGGGGTAAACTTGTGACACTAGGGGCGTCACGTGCGCGTTGCCACTCCCAAAGAAACTCTAATATACCCTTCTTGAAATAAAAAAAAAACATACTGGTATAATAAAATACTTTAAACGTGACAAAATATGCAAATGTAACAACACAAAAGTACACCTTATCAAAAGCATAATGAATTAATTATCAAAATTTGTGAACACGTAAACATAAAATAAAAATGTATGAAGAACCTCTCATGCTTGAATTGTTTTAAAAATGATAAGTCCTTTGGAATGTACATACTCGTAAAGACGCTGTCCGCCGGTCAGTCACATTGGAGGCCATCAATATAACAAAGCCGGCCTGAAAAGTCTCGTCACTAGATGGCGATACCTTCATGTTAGTATATTATTATTATATATCGCCAGTACTTTGAATTACGAGAATGTCGTAACCGGTTACGGCAATCATTAGGTGTTATGACGTCGCCTTTTTTCTATGGAGGCAAAGAAAAAAACTTCATTTAAGTCTCACTTCTTGTATCTTTACAAGGCACAACAAGTTGATATGTGCACAGCAACCGAGAGGAACAACATGTGGATATTTGAGTTTTGTTAATTCAGCGTTATCGCCAATAAGTACAAGAAACTTGACAAGTAAGATTTGAATTTAATAACTTTAAAAATTAACCCACTCATTACTAATATTTTAAACCGGACATAGCCTTTACGAATACCTAGTTAAGGATTTTTTTGTAATTATTTTGTATTCGAATGGAAAGTTAATAGTAAGTGGGTAAACTACTAAACTCTGATTCCGGTACAAGACACAAATGACTACAAATTGTTTAAACAATTTAAAACAATAACAGGAAAATACAATTAAATTTTATCAGCTCTCGTTCATAATAAATACACATTCACGTTTCGTGAAGGCACGTTTCCAAGATGAGAGTTATTAGCTACAAAATGGCATCGGGTATTTACCTTTACCGGATGATGTCATCATCACATTAATTGGATTTGGGTTTATACAATAATAAAAAAATGTGTTAAGATCCGTGTCCATATAAAATTAGTAAGTACTTCTCACACAACTCGGCTTCCGATTTGTGATTTGTCACAATTTAGCATCCTTAACGATCTTTTAGTATATATACTGTTTATTTACAATCAACATTTCTGTATACTTTATGTATATATACAAAATGCGCTAAGTTAATAAAAAAAATTATGGAAATATTACACAGCGCCATCTATCAACTGATAAACATATTTAAATACTCTTTTCCAAAAAAAAAGTTCATTATGTATAATTTTAATCTAATAAATAAAAAATGAAGTTAATAATAAAATACAAGATGAGGTTGTAAATTTTTTTACACCACACAGAAGATATTTAGGAAAACATTTTATACCAGATTTTTAATAAGAGCAATGGAATTTAAAATAAATATTTATAGAGCTTTTGTCCATCTTTTTGTATGTTTGTTCCGGTCCTATACAAAAATGGTATTGTATTTTTATTTCTATTGTATTTCTGAAGGTTTAACTTATAATCATCAGACTTTAAAATATATATTTTATTTCTAGATAACATACCAAGATGAAACTAGTGTATGTTTCATATTGATATGTACCTATTAGTTGTGGTCAAAGGTACCTTTTTTACATTACAAAATGTGTATAATTAAAAACAGTAAAAAACAATAAAAATTATATATTTTATTAACATTTTCCTACATACACAGTTAATCAACAGTAACAATATGATAATATTTTTTATCATCTTCATTTATAAAGTTAGGGGCTCCAGATAATGGGTCTTTTCCCTCATGAGACTTAGGAAATGCAATTACCTCTCTTATTGACTCCGCATTACATGCTATACTTACCAATCTATCTATACCCAAAGCTATCCCTGCATGTGGGGGGCACCCACTCCTCAATGCATTTAGAAAATGCAACAATTTTGTATTATCTATATTCAGCATTTTTAGTAATTTTTCTTGCAATTCTGCATTGTGAACTCTGACCGAACCACCTCCAACTTCATTACCATTTAACACCAAATCATATGCCAATGACCTCACTTTTAGTGGATCAGATTGTAATAAATGTATGTCTTCTGGATGAGGAGCTGTGAATGGATGATGACAAGTCTCTAAACCATTTTCACCTTTAACAAACAAGGGAAAATCTATGACCCAAAGTGGTACCATAGCATTGTTAATTTTTAACAAATTTTTTGATAGCAACAATGTGGCAATAAAACCACGAATTTCTCCTAGACATAAACAGGCATTTTCATTATCCCCTAAACTGACTATACAAGAGTTCCTCTCACCAATAGTATCCTGTATTTTATTAAATAATTCCACACTAAGTTCTTTAGAGATATTTTCATATAAAACTACTTTAGTTTTGTACTTTTTGATCAACTCTCTGATTTTTTCTTTGTATTTAGTTGTTAATTTTCCCAATTCATTAGGATATGGTAACACATAAGCACCAAAGTTTGAATCGTTTAACTTATCACAAAATAAATGTTTAATAGTCTTAAATTTCAAATCATAAGTTAAATTAGGTTTGTCTGTTCCATAATTTTCTAAAGCATATTTATAGGTGATTCTTTTGAAAGGTGGTTTGGGAATATCTTGTATAAAAGTTGTATAAAGTAATTGTTCGATCAATGATAATACTCCATCTAAATTTGTAAATGATAATTCTATATCCAATTGTGTGAACTCCGGCTGCCTGTCAGGCCGTGTGCTCTCATCCCTATAACATCTGGCTACTTGAAAATACCTGTCAATGCCTCCAGCCATCAACATTTGTTTGAACTGCTGAGGACTTTGAACCAAAGAATAGAATAAACCGGCATGGTGAGTAGGTACAACAAACTCTCTGGCGCCACCTGGTGTCCTACAAAATAATGTTGGTGTTTCCACTTCAACAAACTTATGCTTCTCAACAAGAAACCTCCTCATATTATGGAGCATTGTAGATCTTTGTCGCAAATTATTTTGCATATCAGGAAATCTCAAATCAATATACCTATGTTGAAGTCTCAACTGCTCTTTTGGTTTCTGATAATCCCTCAGATGAAATGGAAGATTACTGGCTGTATTGAGGATTTGCAAATCATTAATAACTACTTCTATCTCACCAGTCGTCATATTGGTATTTATCATACTTTTTGGTCTCAATGCTACTGTTCCTTCAATTTTTACTGTGGTTTCTAATGGTATGTCAGGTAGATTCGTATCACCATTTACAATACATTGTGTTGTACCGTATGCATCCCTGAGAAGTAAAAACTTCGTCATTCTTTGGTACTGTATCCATCCACAGAGTGACACTTTTTGTCCAACATGACTAGGCCTCAGTTCTCCACATGTATGAGTCCTGTATGTGAATGTGTTGTAATTTGGTTCGTTTTTAAGCTTTTCCAAGTCATGTTTTACTTCGTGTATATAACTAAGATGTCTGATTAAGGTTATGTTTTGTGGTTTCGAAAAGCTGTGATAATTCATAGGTTTGAATACTTTATTTAATGAACTTACATCAGTTTCGCCAAGCAAAGTAGCTGGAGCAGTATAAAAACAGCATATTTTGTGGATATTACATATATTTCTCCTTAACATTGTGGAATATTTTGGTATCGCTACCGAGACTAAATGCGTAAAAACAAATTCACTTAGTTAATAATAAAACATCTTAAAATATATATATGGGGATGTTTCTATTTGAAATGACTATATTTTATGCATTAATTATTAATCATCAAAATTATAAAATATATATAAATTCTTGTTTTGATTCATGACTTTGACATTTTTTGACGGTCAGTTATACCAATATCTGTCACAATTTGATTGAAATAATGAACAGCACACAAAACAAGTCAGATACTTATTTCCAATCAACTTTAAAATTAGTAGAATATTTAAGTCACTTTTTTATGGATAATAATGGAATGGAACTCCGCCTATATATATATTGGTATAACATTATTGCTATAAGCAAAGACTTAAAAATACCTAAAGAAAATAAAAAGATAATTTCACAACGACATTTTTAAACTTGCGATAGACAGACATATGTTTGCATATGTTTATTTTATTTTTTATTTATTTATTTATTCATTACTACAAATATGTGTACATGGCGGATTTAATATTATTTTTTTAATTTTTTTAAATATTACTATTTTATATATTATATACCTATTTAAAAAAATACAAAATACATGCATTAAACATTCTTCAAAGGATATTTAACATAATGCTTAATAATAAACAGAGGTTAAATGTGTTCGACACTTTTTTAATCAAAGTTTGTATTTTTTTCTTTATGAGACCGCCAATTTTTATGAAAGGAACCTTATATAGTTAACTAATCAGTGGCCTAACAATTTAGGTGACTTCCAAAGGAATACAATTTTGCCTCCTGATTATATATTTTACAATCAGTTTACGACAACTGAAAATTTTAGGAAGCAAAACAACTATTATAAATTAGTTCCATATATTGCTACTTGATCGCTAATGGCGGTGTTTTTAGAAACAAATCTATTTAAGCTATTTAAGGATTAGAAAGCAATGTACAATTATATGCTACGTAATAACAGATTTATTATAATTAATACTTATAGTTATGTCTTTGATTTGATCGTCGTCTTATTATAATAGTTGACACAGTTATTATAATAGTTACACAATGCGTGATAGGGGGAAAGGGATTGTTAGTAATGGGGTCTAATTGTCCCATTGCTAGCAATACACCCTATCAGATCGACCTCCACGCGGTTCCCACTGGAAACCGTCGTGGTTAATTCTAGTGGAATTCGTCACGATGGGCTAACTGACCTACCTTTTCATCCTTACCTGTCATCTCTCACTGGTGCCTCGCCAGCGTATCCCGATAGCGCAGGCAGGGTTACCATTTCATTATCGTCCATACTTAATGATTTATTTAACCTCTGTTATCTATTAAAAATTAAAATGTTTATAAACAAAAACTTAATGTAAGACTTTTCTATTTATAGTTTCTAATTTAATTATTAAAGACGAGTTTTAATAATAATAATAATTATTGTCTAATATTATAAAATATCTAAAATTGTTTTTTCAGGTTTGACTAGTTGCGTAAGAGCCAATGAGGTTTTAGCTTGCGTTAAAGCATGCCCACCTGAAAAAACATGCAGAAACAGAGGAATACGATTCAATTGTCTTAATGATGAAAAAGAATGCACTTCAAAATGTATTTGCAAGGAAGGTTTTTATAGAAATCCAAAGGGCCACTGTGTTACAGAAAAACAGTGTGGTAAGTTTTACTAACATACAAAATATTTTGCATTAATTTAAAAAAAGTTGCCATTCTTCCAAATAAACTTCGATTTGCCCATGTTTTTTAAATAGGACAATGGGAGGAGGGGGGTTATATACACACTAATGATCCGGCAAACCATTAAACAGTTTAATTTTTCTTATCGGGATAAAAATTTAAATAGCACAGCAACATAATACTTGTAGCAATTCGAAAATGCTATTCACTATTTCGAAAATTTTATTATATTTGGTTTCAATAGAACTTAGAGAAAATCTAAACAAACAAATAAAATAACCCGTCCATAAGACAATTTGCTGATATTTAATAAAAATATAAACTCCATTCTTATGTTAAATATATCGTTTCTTATTAAATATTTCGTTTTGTTACTAACTTCATTTAGAAAGTGTTTCTATGATATATTCGACAAATTTTGTTTATTTTATTATTAAGTTTTATTAAGGAATATGAACCAAATGTACAATATACTTGAGGCAGAAAATAACTAAAATAATAATTCATAGAATATAATTCTTTACACGGTAATATTTACGACAAAAATTAATTTAAAACTTTTATTTTAGACATAAATCACACTTCTAGAAACGATACTAATATAGTTTATTTTCGTCAATGACATATTTATTTGTATGTATAAAGTATCTTTATTATTAAATTTGTAGACTTGTGCCTTAGAGAACACGAATATTATGCATGCGGTGGAGCCTGCGATAATGTTTGCTCACAACTACACGTACAGAATCAAACTAACTGCCCCATTGTGAATGTAAGGTGTAATGACAAATGCTATTGTGACGAAGGTTATGCAAGAGATAGTGATAATAAATGTATACCCATAGAGCAATGTCGTAAGTATCTATTTTGTCACTTTATTTCATATTTGAAATATAAAATAAATTAATAAATATTATATCAAATGTCTAAATATTTTTTACCTAATTACGCTTTAATAGCTGAACAGATTTGAACCTGAAGTATTTTAAGCTATGCTACCAGTATACGTTGGTACAGTAACAGTAAGTGATGATAGAAACGATCGAAGAACTCTCCCATTGCTAGCAATATACCCTGTCAGGTTGACCTCCACGCGTTTCCCCCTGGAAACCATCGTGGTTAATTTAGTAAAATTCGTCACGATTGACTAACTGACCTGTATTATACTCACCTTCATCACTTACTGGTGCCCTGCCAGTGTATATTCGGATAATAACAAGTATTAATGCAAATAGGTAGAAATTAGCAAATTATTCTTGCAGTCAACTTACAAAACTAACTGCAATAATATAAAAAAAAGTTGCTAGGAGCATTACTCGTGTTTGTTACGATCACTATATAATATTTATGTATCTATATAATCTAAACCAATGATCTTAAGAGGATTTCTATTCTATCTTTAGATTTTATATTAATAATAATTTAAAACACTGCCTATCTAAATAGCGTTTAACCTAAATGATTAAACATTGTATAGTCGGTGTAATAATATAATTACCTGTAAATTTATGTGCCAGATCTATAAATTACTGTGATTTAATTAATTACTCTAAACATCTTTTCATTTAAGAAGATAGAGAAGATTTATTTATTTATTTAATTATATACTTTTATGTTTAATTATATACGTTTATGAACATATATAGAAATTAGACCCCTTTTTGTAGTCAAACTTCTAAACGCGAACATAATACATGTTTATTGCAAGTTTAATTTTTCACAGATAATATAATTTTTTTTTTGTGGCTAAAAGGTGTATGAGTTTACATATAATTGGAATATTTTAAAAAAATACTGTATTTAAGTTATACTTTTTAATATTTTCTCATTTTATTTATTTCATATTTATGCACAAACATTTAGAAAAAATATTAATAGTTTCACTTTTACCTCTTAGTTGTTTTTTCTTTAATTCGCATTATAAGCAGGTAGCTAGACGCATACAGCCAGTTCTTCAGTATTCTTTTACAACATTTTTATTGTTTACAAATAAATCTTTGCAAGCCTGTTTATTAGTTTTCCCTACTTTAACATAGATATTATTAATAATTAGTTTTTCTTTTTATTTTGATATATATTATATCTAAACCAATTTTTCAGCGCAGAGTCAAGGACAACAATACAGAGCTGCTCCAGAGGGTAATAAAATTGTATCATCTATATAAATATCTCAAGTGGTACCTAAAAAAAACATGCTTTTTTGTACTCGCTAAGTAATTTGATTACTGTTTAATTAATACGCGTATTACAAGATGTTTGTAAATTATAAATCTTTATTTTTGATATATATATTTGTCTAATCTAATTATAATTTGCGAGCATACATTGGCACTGCCTCTATAAAGCGATTTAGGAACTAAAATAAGTAATGTGAATTAATTTCATTTTATGGCACTTGGTTGAAAATAGCACTCTTAGTTAATTTTTTTATTCCAATTAATAATAACATTTCGCGTTTGCATTATAGGAAGTTATAACAATAATTTTATAGCAATCATTTTCTTTTACGCCATCTGTTGGGAAAATTTATTTCGCTTCGCTTTTGTATAACGCTATAGATGGCGATAATGTTAAATAAACACTGCAATTTGAATATTAATAAAAATTATGAATTTTTTGATTACAGAGCAAACTTGCGGCCCAAATGAGATTTTCAGTCAATGCAAGAAAAGCTGTCCACCAGACACGTGCATTTCGTTAGTAGCCAGATTCAAGTGCGACTCCAGCGAATTGTGCAGACCCAGGTGCATTTGTAAACCAGGATTTCTGCGGTTAAAAACCAGAGCTCCATGCGTACCGATGCAACAATGTCCAGAATTTGAAAATAAAATATGAATAGATAAAGATGTACTCAGATTGTTATATCGCTCGTCGCTTAGCCAAAATATATTTTTTTTATAATTATTCATGGCTTTTTTTTATGCTAGTCTAAAAGTTACGTAATGCTACGTCGCAACCTGACGATCTACTTGATGGAAAATGGTAACATTCGTCTATAAAGACGTATCATGGGCATCGCATAATATATCGTTACACCCAAAACGAGGTGCCTTCTATTTTTGAAGACTATCATGTTATCTCCGTATTTCTGCAATTGTTTTCTATATTAGTCCTATCCATGAAATTGACAGTCGGCAGTTTGTTATCTCATCACCTACTAGGTGGGCTATTTATTTTTAGAGATAAATTAGTGCATATATATATATATATATATATATATATATATATATATATATATATATATATATATATATATAACTAATTTATCTTTTTAAATAATAAACACTGAATAACAGAAATATATAAACAAAATGTTAACCAACGTGTTGAGTTTATAAATTTATATGAACATATATATAAACCTACTTCAAGTGTCGTAAATGCGCGTGCGATCCAAGAGGTAATTGTATGTTTAAATATTTATTATAATTCGAACCCGCATTTTATTTTTGCTACACAAAGGATTCAATTTGATATGAGATTTAACTGAACTAAATGTTATCTTGGGCAAGTCCATATCACTGGTTATTTAATTAGAATTAGTTCGTTTAATTCGGCTACTATTATATATGTGGTAGTCAATCTTCGTGAGTTGGCAGTCACACAAATTAATGGTAGCATAATTAAACTTAATTATAAAATAATCAGTGATATGGAATTAACTCTCAAGTATCAAGTATACTCTCAAGCTCATGTCTATAGGCGACGATTACCACTTTCGATCAGGTGGGCCGTCAGCTTGTTTGCCATTCTAAGTTGAATAAAAAAAAAAAAACTCGAGTATATAAAACATTTATGTAGTTCTTGTTGCATAATAACCACTGCGATTCATACTGTATTTTAATTATTTGTCAGCTTTCAGACTAGTTTCAAATTTGAAAGGATACCTTATATGCGCGGTTCGCGGTTTTTTTTAAATTAAAATACAGTTTCGTAGAAGAGCTAAAGCGAATATGAAAGTCAAATATAACAAAACCTATCTATGTTATTTAACAGTTATTTTTCCATTATTATCACATCTCAATGTGATATATAGATATGAGGAGCACCACACCAATGTAAAAAAAAATACTTATATGAACGGAATATTTATTTAGTCTGTAAATAAGTCTTAAAAAAAAAATAATGCAAATTGTCAACTAAAAATAAATTGAGTATTGTCCAAGTGACAGTGCTGTTTTCTCTGAATATACACTAGGTATAGACACAAGCAAGCACTGAATAGGCAACGTCTTTACAACTTGTAAATGCCACAATATATTTAACCATAGTATACCTACGTTATATAAAGCAAAATCAAATATTCTAATAATAATTATTAAAGTAATCCGTAACAATATGGCCTCTGTCATACTTAAATATATCTATGATTAGGAAAATTATACAATATTTGAATAGTCAACAAAAAGTTTTCATCACACATCTATTATACAAAAAGTCACAATGGGTTGAATGAGAATTTATAACAAGTTCAATAAGAGCAACAAAAAAAAAAAAGGTCATATAAACCTCTCAAAACAAAACAACATCCCAATACACAGAATTGGTCAAGTTGTTTGACATTATAATAAGTAATAATACACCGAATGCAAATGAAATTCCACTTTTTTCCACAAGAAAAAAAGCAGTAATTTCATAAACTTAAGCTAATACAACAAAAATAGTTTCAAGCTGTATGCCATACTGATGGCACTGGTACAGTCACAGGAATTGTTGGCTGCGGGCGAGGGTATAAGGAAGAATTAATGTAGCTATATGGTAAACCAGGACAGCTTGGCAAGGGCTGGACCACCGGTTGATAGACTGGATGTACGGGCGCGGCGGTAGAGCGCTGCATAAAGTCACTTCTCAGCAACTGAAATAAATATAAATTGTAAGTTGTGTTCTTTGCTTTGGTGAAACCTGATCCAAACTTAATCTTGTAAAATTAATTTTACTTTTAACATTTTGGATCAGGTTTCACATATAATTTACAAATACTTATAAAAACATAGCTAAATAAAAATAGGAATTTCATGGAGATGCATGATAAATGATGCAATTGGTCAGTAAATAATGGGAAATAAAAACAATAATCCAAAGGAGCCCACATCCAATTTTTTAAAAAGGCAGTTTATTTTAAAATCTTAGAGAATATTAGTGCAGTACTTGCATATATGCCAATATAAAAGCCTTACTAAAATGTGTTGCAACAGTTTGCAACACTGCAAAGCCAAGAAAGCTCTTTCTGAAATAAATTTATAATATATAATTGAACACTAAAAATTTTCTTCCTAGAAGATATATAATTAAAAAAAAAGTACTGATACTTTGATTTCGCTCATATGTATAGTATAAAAAAGATAGATGTTGCTGCCACATCTTGTAACAATGTTTTCTTAAAGAGGGTAGGTTGATAATTAACATTTAGAATTATATATGAAATTTGTTGAAAAATTTATTGTAAAATGGCAGTTTTTTTACGGATGATGATGAAATGGTATAACCCCACTTGTGCTAACAGTATACATTGGCGGGGCACTAGTGTAAGGTGATAGGTAAGAATAAAAGGCAGGTCAGTAAAGCTATTGTGATGAATGCATCTAGAATTCAGCATGGTTTCCAGATGGGACCATGTGGTCAACCTGACAGTATATTGCTAATCCTCCATTACTAATAATGGAATGGTAGCCCCACAGTAGATAGGTGAGGATGAAGCAGGTCAATTAGCCCATCTTGACGAATTCAACAAGAATTTGTTCATGATGGTCTCCAGGGGGAACCACATGAAGGTTGACCTAATAAGGTGTATTGCTAGCATGGGAGCAGTCAAACTTCATTGCTAACAATATTTTCCCCTCCCCCCTGTAAAATGGTGGTAGGTATTACGTGAATATCTTAGAGCTACTCGCTGAATTAATTTGATGATATCTTTGGTGCTATACCTTAATGTAGTGCAGGGCCATCTCTGCTGCCTCCACATGAGCCTGCTGTAGAGAGAAGCACGCTGGCGCCGTCAGGGGACCCAGGCGACGTGGCGTAGTTAGTGGTGGGCCAATGTAGGGTAGATCTACACGGCCCACCCACACTTCTGCACCAGTTGGGTTTAAATATTTTTGGTAGTCATAGACTGGAGGTGCCCAATTGTATCTGTAAATTGAAGAAATTAATACTTTCGTTATTTAATCATCAAATACAAACTGGGTAGTTTAATTTTAAAAGATTTTCTTTTACGAAAAAAATCCTAATTAACATGGGAACAATGCAAACACTTTAAAAAGGCTTAAAATTATTTTGTTTCAACATGATATTACAATTGAAATACTGCTTACCTTTTACACATGGCATCAAGTTTTGCTGGAGCCATTGTGTAGTTCACAGGGACTGGTGTTGTATTTGGAAAAGACAGTGCCCTCAAATTTGTTGGTGAACCAGATGTGGAGTCCCCAGCACACACAGAGCCAATTCCCTCATCTCTTGAAGACTTCTCATATTCCTTCTTCGCCAAGTGCTGTTTATAAAGTAACAATGTTTGAGACAAGTCAAGGCTGTTATTAAATTTCGCATTGCCTTTACTCATTTTCTGTATACGGTACAGCTCTCTATCTACTGGCTTTGCCCAACGTATTTCTATATTAGTGCCTTCAACATCAGCATTTTGTAATCTTGCCATAGCCAGCTCAGCATGCTCTCTCTCATAGAAATGTACAAACGCATAATCATATATTTTTTTTACTTTCTCAATTTTATTATTTATAGCCTTTTCGAAAACTGATTGAATAGTATCTGGCGATGTTCTGATTAAGAAATTACGAACGTACAGCACTTTCACCTGCAATAGACATTTTTTTTATATCTACTGTTTATAATAGAACAGATGGACAAATAAATTAATTGTATAATAACAATTTATTGATCGCCCAGCTGTATAAACAGTAGGTAACAGAATACTTGGGTTCAAAAACATGTAAACAAATATGAACTTAAATAACAAAACTTAAAAGCCAAGATGGAGCCTCAAATCGAGGATGTAGATAGGTCGATAGAAATAGATTCGGATTTCTCTGCCTACCCACTACTACGCAAGGGACCCAGCGTGGAGACAAATGGAGCAAAAATAGAATTGGCACAGCAACAAATCAATTAAATGATACTAGTCCATACAATAGAGTTATGGAGAAATTGCGACAAATTACTATATAACTTACTTTTTTCATTTGATCGTCGTCTACGTCCGGTTCTGGTTCTGCCCAGTCCACCATCAAGTCCTGGTCCCATATTTTGACGCAGCCTGGCACGAGGGTACGTCTCGCCATAGCCGCCGCCCGATGAGATGTGAACTCCACGAAAGCAAACCCTCTGCTCATTTGTCTGTTAAAACAGTTCTTGTAAAGAATCACGTCTACAATTCCAGACACCCGTTTGGACAACTCTTCAAATATTTCTTCTTTTGTTTTAGTTTTCGGTATACCGCCAACGAAGAGGCGACAATTATCGACCGATTTTACGACTCCAATCGGTTTGTTCGGTTTTATCTCGTAACCGTTCAGTTCTTTAACAGCTCTGAACGCCTCCAATTTTGTGCAGTACGTTACGAAAGCATATCCACGGTTGGAGCCTGAGAAATCCATCATCAGTCTCATTTCATAGATCTTCCCGGCCTTCGAGAAGATCGGTACGAGCTCGTCTTCAAATATTTCTCTCGGAAGCCGTCCAATGAAGACTTCACATCCTTTCGGAGGCGGTGGCCCGTTCCAATCGGGGGGTGGTCCAAATTTTCTCTGTCCATTTTGCTGCACGATAGGATATCCAGTCTTTTGTATTAACTCCAAGAGTTTAGTCATTACACAATTCCCTTTCTCCACAATATGTAGAGTGTCCATTTTTAATTATTAAATCAACTAAAAATGTGCGCAACTGGATTTAAACGATGAAATCAACAAATGGCGAAAGGCGGCCGGACAAAGTGTCGGTGCTCTTTATACTTTTGCCGAAAGCCGACAAACGAACCGCACAGGCTGTGACGTCACGTAATATTTTAATTTGGCGGCATACAAATTAACAATTTTCTTTCTTTTAAATTAGTTTCTTTTAATACTAATATTAAAATCTAAACAATATTAAATTAAACTTTAGTAATAAAACGAAAAAGATTGAAATGAAACAATTTAAACTTATTGATATTATATTGAAAAATTTAATTGATCGACTACACGAGATTTTATTTATAAAAAAAAAAAATACCTGAAACGGAAATAGTGTCCTTTTGCATGTTAACAAATAGTTGTCCAATAATGTATTTATTTCTACTTTTAATATCCTTTTAAAATTACTTATTATTATGATGTAATTGAGTTATGTATTTTATATTCCAATTTCAACTGTATAAGAAGTTTTTTAATAGTTTTAAATTAAATTTTAGTAGAAAGTTTTACCATATTATAAAAAAATGAGTTCAAATGTTATAGTTACACACAACCAATATTAAACAAAATATTCAGATGCAAATGTAGGTATATATAATAGTTAAATATACCCATTTTTCTGTTAATGGTTCAAATGGATAATTTAATTTGACAAAGTTGCAATAGATTGTTTTTTATAATTACGCATAGATGGCGCTAATAGTAAAAGTTATCCAGATAAAAACCTACTCAGGTTATTTATAAAGTTTAAACTTTAAATAAATGAACTATTTATTAAAATATCCAAATAATATTTCTTTATCGTTAATAAGGTAAATATTAAAAAAAAAGAACATTAATGATTACAAAAAAAAAATATTAAGTAACTGCCTACATAAATTTTGCAAGGCATAATTATTTATTCTTGATATAATGTGTTAATATGCCCATGATGCTGTTCATGTTTTAAGGCGACGGTTATCATTTTTTACACGTGTGCCGTGAGCTCATTAGCATTTCTGTCTCATAAGAAGCATTTCAATATGGACTCAGCATATTGTTCAAAAAATTACTTTGCGACAGCATTTACGTTTTCGTCAATAAATTTGTATCTAATGGTATCAATTGTTGTAATGCCTAATTTGAACAATATATAATAATTAGATTTATGTTTTTTAATAATTTTGGTAAAGGCTTTTATAATATTTGTAAGCCCAATAACGACGGAACATAGCGATCTTAACTGTTTATATACTTAACTGTGTTTTATATACAATGTTATGTAATTTATGTAACCTATACAAATAAATGATTGACTTGACTTGAAAATTTAAGTTTTTGATACTATCCGCTAGAAATGCAGGGAAGTTTTTACATAAACCTGTCGAGGTTTTCCCAGAGATTACAAGGGTATTTTAAGGTAATTTCAGGGTTTTTTTTTTGAAGGATGAAAATAGTATGGTGACCCCGCCTGCGCTAACGGGATACGCTGGCGGAGCACTAGTGAAGGGTGATAGATGAGAATGAAAACAGGCCAGTTAGCCCATCATGATGAATTCATCAGGAATTAACCATGATAGTTTCCAGAGAGTACCGCGAGGAGGTCGACATGGTTGGGTATATTGCTAGCAATAGTATTCTCAGTCTCCATGACTAACAATCCCTTTCTCAGGTCTGGTGTTAATCTCTTAAAGCAGTGAAAAAATCAAGCTTCTAAAGCGACGCAATTAAAATAACAAGTAAAGGGAAAAATCCGATAATCGCAAATTTGTAGTTATATCACAAAAAATAGTGAGTCCGACTTATACTTGACCGGCTTTTTTTTTATTTCGGACCACACAGAATTTATATTGTCAACTTAGAATATCAAAAAGCTGAGGCCCACTTGATAGAATGTAGTAACTGTTGTCTACAGACATACGGAAGAACTATTAGTATTACAGAATACACTGAGATATTTAGGATACCCTTAATGACTTTTACTTAATGAATGAATATAAAATGACTTAATGAATACCTGAGAACTAAGATCTATATATTATGTAGAAAAATTTAAATAAACTATGTTACAACTGATTAAAGTAAATAATTTAATCAGCCATATTTATTAGGTATTTGTGGTCAGGTTTTAGTACAATTGAAGTTTAGTAAGATTTGCATAAGTTTATATTTTAATTAAATATACTACATGATAACTACATTCTGACAAGGTAAAATACAAGGGATAAATAATAAAATACAAAATATATTTCTAAATTGTTTAATACAATATCCATCACAAAAACATGTATAAAATAATTTACAAGGAACGTCCAATATACAAACACCATCTTTTATTCTAAAATTAATATACTTAACACTAGAAATTGTTTACACTAAAATATATCACATGCGTTAAGCAATATAGCATATAATCGCTTACACATTCCATGTAGACATAATTCACTAATACCATTTAACTAAAACTCCTTTTAGGATATTAAGATCCTTCACTTATGTGAATAATATTTTAAATTCATGTCAGCAATATTCACATTTATGTAATAATTTCTGTTTATGTGATGTATGTGAAAATATAGTCTAAAACAGATTTATAAAATACTAGCGATGTGCCCCGGTTTTGCAAAGGATAGATAGATAAACAAATTATTTTATATTATATTTAAGTATTTTATATTAGCTTTAAAAGGCAATTTTTTTATAATTTGGGTTATATTATTGTAATTTTCAAAGAGATCTCTTTTTAAAAACATAATATTGTATATAGCATATGTTATTCGCCGATTCTATAGGTGAAACAATTTTTTAAATAAGTCAAGGATTTTATGATATATCAATTACAAATAAAAAATGATTGCTCTTTAAAATAGGAGCTTGGACAAATAAAATTAGACTTACAGGACGGCACAAATAAGCAATAGTCTATATAATACATAGAAAATCTTATATACAGGTCAATTTATAAATATAAACATCTATGTGTGGACGAAGTGTGAATACAAATTTTAATTGAAGATGTTCTGGGTTGATAACCCAAATATTTGTTGCTTGGTTCTTCAAAACACAGGGTATGGTAGTTTAAGTGAGGCACTTATTAGCAATAATAATAATTGTGATCTACAAAAAAAATATATAATAATAATAAAAAAAAAAAAAACATATTTCGATTTAAAAATTAAATTGCTGAACTGATTTTGTTAAAACTTATATGGGATCAATATGTATTTTATTTCAGATAAAAAAAGGAATTCTCCAAATCGATTCACAACTGAGTTCTGGGGTAACAAATATTAAAAAAATACAATCAACTTGAGAACCTCCTTTTTGAAGTCGGTTAATAATCACATTTTATCTATAGACATTCAAACCATAATATACCAGTGCAAGTGAAGGAAGACTTGTTATAAAACCCTGTAATAAGCTGCCTGGCTGGTCCTATGATAATAGGCTAATATCCTTATTTTATGGGGAGAGTATTATGCCCAACAGTGGGACTTCTATTGGATAATAATTCTTATTTAGTTATAAACACTATTAACTAACATCATTATTCATAAAAACTAAAATATACAAACCTCTTTTAACTATAACACTGTTTTGTCCCTTATTTAAAATTTAGAATTTAATACAAAAGAGACAAAACAGCTAAATAGTTATAGTAGGTCTTTTTTTTATGCTACTTAGAATGGCAAACAAGCTGACGGTCCACCTGGTGGAAAGTGGTAACCGTCGCCTATAGACATGAGCAGCACCATGGACATAACAGAGTATACTCTTTCGCCCATGATACCCCCCATGCGTTGCTATTCTTTAGGACTCAGGTGTTATTCCTCTGTACCCAGTAAATTCACGCCTTCAAGTCTATAACAGGTTTAGTATTTTTGTGAATAAGAGAATAAATATTCATTTAATTACTATTAGTATGAGCGTAGCAATCAACATTTAGTGGGGAAGATTCACTGCCAATCGTAAAGGTATTATTATTAAATCCACAATCGGGGCTTAACGCGATGATAAAGTTTTTAAAGGTAAATAGTATTTACATACGTGCTTCTTTATTGCCGACGTTTGGACGTAGATTGCACCACGTCGTGGCCACGTCGCGTTAAGTCCCGATTGTGTATTTAAAAATACACTGGATAGCAAATAAACCGGGCCATCCGCTACTTTTGAACTCTAATCCGATTTTCTCAGAAAGTATAAAACTTAGAACTGCCAGTCATATAGAAAATGCGTTTCATGACGATCAAAATGGCTAAAATTTAATCTAAAGTACCGTTTGTTTTTTACTTGGTGATAACAAACGATTTGCGCGAGTGGAAACGACCTATTTTTGTAAAATTCTTAATAAACACTTAATTAATTGATAAATCATAATGTGTTCCTATTAATTATAATCGTCATGAAACGCACTTTCTATAGGTATGACTTTGACAATTGTAAGTATTACACTTTTTGAAAAAATCGGACTAGAGTTCAAAAGTAACGGGTGGCCCGGTTTATTTGCTGTCCAGTGTATGTATGTGTAAACATTAACTAAGGTATTATTTTGTTGAAATGTATTCTGTCAAATAATGTTAGAATATTATTCATCGTCAGTATTGAAATTATAATAATATTATTGAAGTAATCAGGGATATGGACTTTTTCAAAATAATATCTCACAGGAAAACCTACCACCACTTTAGCCCCGTAAGGATAAATTGGCGGTAGGCTTCTTTGTGGAAAGGGTAAAACAATGTGGATATAAAATTCAATTTTTTCTTTAGTACTGACTAATAGATAGAGTAATAGGTAGAATAATATTAAAAAGTTTAGTTTTTCCGATGTTATAGGATGCTTTTTAAAGTCACTTGCTGCCAGAGTTGCCAGGTGTTTGGTATTCTACCGAATCGTTTGGTACTTCAGCACTGTGTTCGGTGCTCGGTATAATAAAAGTACCGAAGTATGGACAGTGCGGTATTTCTTTTCTGATTATTTTTTTTTCCCTAAAAACGATTTCATTCAACTGAATTATGCACACGATGCAATTAAAGTCGGACGCTAGAATATAATTTTTAAGTATTACTTTTGTTTCTTAGTTCCTGAATCCTATGTTTTTTTTTTGTTGTGCAATGTTAGTTTATAACATAACTAAATGAAAAAGTGACAAAAATACAACTATATTATAATATTATTAAGTTAATTAGTTGCTCTTGTGTAATGATACTTTGTATTGTGACAATACTAAACAAATGATTCAACATTTTTTTTTTTCACCTTACAGCATTTTTTTTAAAAAGACATGGCAACCCTACCAATTGTAAGTAGTCTTCTAGTAACTATTTGCTGTTATTTACGTTATAACGAGGTGGTGCTACTGTTGAAGTTTTGCACACCTTTCTCAATTCAATGAAATTCGTCCTAAATAATTTACATCTCAGAATTGTTGTCCATAGCTTTATTGTCGTATCCCCTGGCCGTAGTGACGGAGGCACCATCTGTGTCGAAGCTCGCGTCCGAATCCGCGTCGAGGACCCAGTGTTGTTTCTCTCCAGACGCAAACATGCCGTAGACTATCGCGCCAACAAGATAGATGGCGCTGGTTATGAAAAATACTATCCGCCACTGCTCCGCGGTCTGAAAAGTTTATTGTTAATATTATAGAGTGATAGAAGTACAGAAAACTATCTAATATAGGGGAACAGTAGTAAAAGAATCCATCTGTAAGCTGTAAATAAGGTCGGATTCCCATTATAATACTAGACTCGGTTCGCCTTCGCTTCCGACTGAGTATGGTTAGTAGAAACAGTTCGATATTAATCGAAAAGGTTCTTAATGTTGAAATGTTTGTTTCTCGTGTAATAATATTGTACTAGACCGAGAGTGGATTGAGAGCAACTTGAGACAGGCATTATGGTAGGGATCACACCTAATAGTTCCAAATCCCTCTACAATGGCGCTAGAGTACCAAGAAGTATGAAATAAATTTTGCAGTCGTTGATGGAGTGAATTGATTTAATGATTTTATTTAATAAAAAATAATTAAAAGTTTAACAATGATATTTAACGGCGATCGATATGACGATAACAGGTGGCTGTAGGCATCATTTTAAATAATTCCTCAGAACAAAATCCGTTATACAAATGGTAGAACATACAAAGGAAGAAGTCTTGTCTTAAACTTATTGGCGTGAATTTACAGGGTACAGAGGAATAACACCTGAGTCCTCAGGAATGGCAACGCATGGGGGGGGGGTATCATGGGCGAAACAGTATACTCTGTTATGTCCATGGTACTGCTCATGTCTATAGGCGATGGTTACCACTTTCCATCAGATTGGCCGTCAGCTTGTTTGCCATTTTAAGTTGTATAAAAAAAACTTAAGGGCTCGATACCAACTATTTAATAATAAGCATAGTATAATACAAATAACTACCGTTGAACTGTACTGTACTCACATTGTCCTGTACAATGGCGCCGGCAAGCGGAGGACTGAGTATGCCGGGCAGCGTGGCCAACGTGTTGCTCAGTCCCATGAGCACGCTCGCGTGCGGCGGCGCCACATCCAGATGGTTCACGCTGGTGACAAATACCACCGACACGCTTATACCACGTGCTTCATCTTACTATTATAATCCAACTAGTTTTTAACCGAGACTTTGTTCGCGTGACCGGATGTTTACTGACCGGGATAAAAAGTAGCCTGTATCCCTCTCTATTCCATATAGTACGTGTATACCAAATTTCATAGAGTATGGTTAAACCGTTAAGATGCTATTGGGTATCGAACAAACAAATTCATATTCACGTTTATAATAGTAAGGAAAGATTAAAGATTGTAAGTATATCATTGTACATAGACAATAATTAAGAAAAGTTGATTAGACCTTAATGTAAAAATACCACAGGTGTTTTTTTTTTTTAATTATTTGTTTCGCTGTTTTTCTTATTTATATTTCTGACGCACACTTGTGTTTATTTGCTGTTACAAACTTGAGCTGCGATTTGATACAGCAGAATAAATACCCTAGGTCGATATTTTTAAAATTTGAAATAAGAACTATTTATTAATACAAGCATAATAAAATTGTAACCAGACCACATGGGACATGTTTAGAAAAAAATAATATAAGAGAGGGGTCTTAATAACAGCAATAAAAACCAAAACAATAACTTTTAGATCTTTTGTCTGTCTGTCTGTCTATATGTATGTTTGTTCCGGCATCACGTAAAAAATTGCTATTATATTATCACTCACCCAAATCCTGACCAAGCGAATCCTCCAAGGCCGACCGCAATCGTTAAGAAAACGATGCATCCGACCACAGAACTCGCATACGCCGCGGCCACCATAAATATTGTCTGTAATTAACACTTTTTTTATTTAAAAACAGCTACTGTAATAACATTATAAAATATGGATTTAAATAAACAGCATTCGCATGCTTTGTATTGCCATGTTTTTGTTAAAATAGACAGTTTTGGAAGTTGATTTACAGAGTATGGACACATAAAATTAATTCTCAGGCACGGCAATACATGAGGGATAATTTGGATGCCATAGAGCATTCTATAATATCAATGATGCTGCTTATGTTTATAAGCGACGATTGTTACTTTCCAGTAGGTGGATCAGCTTGTTTATATTTCAGATTGCACAAAAGTTTATATAGTCTAGTATCCTCTTCTTATGGGGGAAATAACACGTTTACTTGATCTACTTATTTCAAATACAGTAATTAATATTAGCTCATATTCAACGTATCTTCGGTCGCATAAATACTCGAATCTAGCGCTAGCACACAATACCGATAGTCCGCTGAGTGTAAAGTTGTTGCCGATCTTCCGCCGGCCGAAGATCGGTGCGCCGAAGTTGGTTATGAGCGTTTCGCGGGATTTTATTGAGGTAATGTAATAAACGATCTTATGTGCAGTGTGACTGAATGCAGCAAATTGTATGCGACTTAATGTATCAGCGTTCCGTCGCGTATAATCGACGACCAAAGATCACCAAAATGTGACGTTAGCCTAAAAACTGATCATAATTACCTGAGATAGGAAAGCGCCGCAGTTAAATAGTTTCCTAATGTTCGTTCTGGTCATGATACTCTTTCTCAGTAACCAGTCAGACAACTGGCCAGCCACTTGCAACATTATGCCCATTGCTAGATAAGGGATAGCTGCTACCCAGCCAGTTTGCGATGTTTCGAACTTGAACACATCTGGGAATATAAGTTAGTTTGTAAACAACAAATTATATCTATTAAGTTTGGAGAAAAGAATCTATTTATTTGGCGGGAGTATGAACAAGCTTTAATTATTTTTAGGTTTTGAGTTAAAATTAATTTTAGGTGTAATTTTTAGTTAAAATTACTTTAAAGTTAACTCTCACCGAAAACCAAAATATAAAAAAAACACGAATTTGACGACGACGACAACGCCGGATTCGTCACTCGACTCAATTCGATTAAAGTTTCCGTCACTCGACTCAATTAAACTGATTCACTGATTTCCTTGAGTCAAATCGAGTCACGTAATACTTAGAATTTAGTCGAATTTAGAAAACTCAAAAGTAGTAAAGCTCGTAACACACGGATTGCGACACGTGTTTCACCTCTAAACATGTTTAACAAAAGTAAGTTTTTATTAGTTAGATTGATTTAAAAAAAAAGAAACAAAATTTTTAAATTTAATCAACAAGTGGTTAGAATTTAAAAGTTCACATTACATGTAGACGGATCTCTTATGATACTTATTGATATCGATATTTTGGACATATCGTCATAGTCGTAGAATATTGACGGATCTACCATATATATGTAATCTTTGTCAGAAACGTCAGTATTCTACGACTATGACGATATTACAAATAATTGTACAACATTATGAATATTAATAATATAATTTATTCTTTCTGTTTACTGTATATCTATCTATTTACTGTATGGATAATCTGGTAGTGTTGTTTTATTGCAACAGAATATCAGTGCTTTGCTCTTTTGAGGGCGAAGTAATAAACTGAGTTGTGACTATTTTGTATTGTTATGGCACACGCACAAACGAAAAATTGTATTTAACTTTTTTAGTATTTTTTTATCAATATATCAATATATGTTGTAATGTGTGTAAGTAATGCAAATAAATTATCTATCTAATTTATTTTGTGATTTCTAGATGGTGGAACCATTCATTTTTCAGTTTCTTTAATATAAAGAGAGTGACGACTCTCAAACCACGTAGTGATCACTTGTTCTGTGGACTATACCTTTCATGAAAGTGGGCAAGAAGGTGAGTAACGTGTAGACGCCCCAGTTTTCGCTGAAGTGCGCCATCACTATCGCCCAGACGGGAGCTGACGTCAGAATCGCCTTCCATGGGTGCCGGACCTTGGAGCTGTCGACAGCCTGAGTCCCTCGAGAGTCCTGGAGTATAATTTAATTTTTATACAGAAATTTTCACATGTATAGTTTATTTTTTTATACCACTGAAGCGGTAAACAAGTATACGGCCCACCTGATGGTAAGTAGTTACCGTATACTATGAACGCCTGCAATATTATGGGTAATACGCGCGCGTTGCGAACCCTAAAGTTAATGAAGTTCATCCATTACAAACAAACAAATATTTTCTCTTTATAATATTAATATAGATAATATACAATGAGTCATAAATAAAAAAATATCATACACTGAGGAAATACCAGAGGGAGACTTTGTACAAAAGTCGATTGCTTGGGTACTTCTGTCCCATTCGTGTTTCAACCGTGAAGCAGTTGTGTTTGGCTGTGTTTCGGTTTGAAGGGTGGGATATGACGTGAATTTACAGGGTACAGAGGAATAACACCTAAGTCCTCAGGAATGGCAACGCATGGTGGATGAAACACGTTATGTCCATGGTACATAGGCGAAACTTTCCATCAGTGTGTTGTTTGCCATTCTAAGTTGTATAAAAAAAAATTCAAAAAACGGCAAAAAGAATATCTAAAATCAGGACTGATGAAGATATCAGATTGTTACAGGATATGTGAATGGTGTCCACGTTGTATGTGTATAGTCTGTATATATTATATGTGTGTGTAACGGGAATCTAATGAACTTACTATGTTTGTCGTTTCCGACAATTATTTCCACTTTATCAGGAAGTATTTTTTAGGGTGAGTACGGTGCTTTCGTTGCTGCGTGAAGGCGAGACGCCACAAGACGAAATAATTGTAGGAAACGTATTAAGTTCATAAAATTCTCATTACACAAAATATATAGACGTTTTTAAGAAATGGTAAGTGCAATTTTCTTCGGATAGTCAATATATATATATATATATATATATATATATATATATATATATATATATATATATATATATATATATATATATATGTGTGTGTGTGTGTGTGACAAAATTTCATTCATTTATATCGTAAATATAATATTGTACTATACGATTTATATTTTGTATAAAAAACACAGACAAACTTCAGTGGTTTTTGGTGTGCTCGTTTGTTGATTTGATTTATGTGGGGAAAATAAATAATAAAAATTGTTTACTGAACTAGATGTTATCTTGCCCATATCATTGGTTATTTGCCAAGTGTGTGATAGATCACTATTACTATCAGAAGTTCCACAACCTTCTATATTGTCTATGATTTACTCGGAGCATAGTGTAAACGCAACAGCGATTTAATAATTTTCCTGAAGGTGCCATGTTTAGAGGTGAAAAACGTGTTGCAAAACGTGTGTGAACAAAATGGCAGTCGGAGACTGATGGTTGTGGAACTTGTAATAGTAATGGTTAATCTTCGAGTGTTGGTAATCACACAAACAATAATGGTAGCGGATAGCATTCAAATAAATAACTAAAAATTATACAATGCAGTACATACCTGTATATACTTTAGTTCAGCCGGCGTTATGTGAGGATCTTTTTCAGGTGATTCCTTCACGACCAGCCACCATATGGTCGTCCACACCAATCCGCATATACCTGTGATATCATCATCAGGACATTATTAGGAAACGGAGCTGTATTTAGTTAAAGTATTTTTAAAGGGGGCAAACGAGCATGCGGTTCACCTGATGGTAAGTGACTACCGCCGCCCATGATCACCCGCAACACTAGAGAAATTGCAGATGTGTTGTAGGCTTTTTAAAAAGGAATATGCTATTTCTTGAAGGTTATTATGTTAACCCTTACTGATCTTAACTAGTCGTCTCGTATTTGGATTGAAGTAGAGAAGGACATAGATTATATGTTATCTCTATCAATTACTATAACCAGATCGTATATCGACAAAGTCGCGGATAAACGCTAGTATTTTTACTCTATTAAGTTTCTTAAGAGAATAAAGGTTCTTGAGTGGCGATCCGTACGGGCAAACGCTGTATGGAACTACCCACCACTAGATGGAGTGACGACCTCAAATGCATTGCAGAGAATCAGCGAATACAAGTGGCTCAGAACCGTTTCTTATGACAATCTATGGGGCGAGGTCTATGTTCAGCAGTGGACAGGTAATGGCTGAGATGATGATGATTATTTTAAGCTACTCGAGTACTAATGTAAGCGTTTAACCCTTGGTTTCCTCATCAGACTGCGAGCACACAGGAATATAGTTTTTATCAAGTTTGGATTGTCCAAACGAGCCCAAACACGACGACTGATTTACCACAATCGTATCGATTAAAAAACAGACTGTTAATTTCGAAGGTAAAGATATACAAAAGCATGATAAATTATTATTATTAAAATACTGCAAATTTGCCACTCACCAAAGACGTAGAATATACCAGGCCAGCCCGTATACTTGGCCAGCAGCGAGCAGACCGGCATGGACACCACGGTGCCCGCGTAGCTGCCGCTGAACGCGAGTGTCGCCAGCCGCGCGCGTTCGTCGGCGGGCGCCCACCGGGACCACACCGCGTGGATGCATGGGTACGTCACACCCTGTATAAATAAACACAATTTCTCAGTGGGAACACTTCTTGAAATTTTTTGTATCTATTCATAATAAGTTTACTACTATAATCTTTTGGAGGAAACAATATATATATATATATATATATATATATATATATATATATATATATATATATATATATATATATATATATATATATATATATATATATATATATATATATATATATATATATATATATATATATATATATATATATATATATATATATATATATAAACAATATATATATATATATATATATATATATATATATATATATATATATATATATATATATATATATATATATATATATATATATATCTACTTCCTATGCCACTGCGTTAGGTTGACTGGAAGACATCTCTTTTAGAGATAAGTTCGCCTTTGCTAACATTGTTATTAACTTATTGTTGTTACTGTATAACGAGTTATGTAAAGAGTATCAATCTAAATAAATAATGTGTTACCTCAAATAGTCCTTCGACCACCCTCACGGTTATCAGCAAGGCTGTGCTTGTATACGCCAATGGTGGCGTCAGTAAAGTGAGCAGTGATGTCGCTCCTATGCCTACTGCAAATAGCCTGAAAATATACAAACGTCTTGTAAATTTCAAAATGCAATTGCAATTCATAAATATTTAGGTAATCTATAATTATACTTTTTTTTTTATACAACTTAGAATGGCAAACAAGCTGACGGCCCACATGATGGAAAGTTTTAACTGTCGCCTATAGACATGAGCAGTACCATGGACATAGCAGATTATACTGTTTCGCCCATGATATCCCCCATGCGTTGTCACTCCTGAGGACTCAGGTGTTATTCCTCTGTACCCAGTAAATTCACGCCATAATGCGTCTGTACCTTCAGACATTTAGTGCACAAAGTTGGCGGGTTATACGTCTTTCATTGAGTATGTTTGTATACATTAGGATTCGATGCATTCTTATTCGAAGGCATTACTAATAGAGCAATTTGACACATTGAATATAATTCAAAATAAAGAACAAATAGATTTTGCTTTGTAAATAAAAAATTACGACTGCCGTGGCAAAAGGGTGCCAAAACAAACAATAAAAGGGTTCTCAATTCGATTGTATATATTTTTTTATGCTTGCTCATAACTTTATTAGTTGTAAACCGATTTGCATTATTTTATTTGACAGGATATACTTATAGTTTGGTCCCATAGACATTTAAACAAAATTGGTTCAAAAGTTTAATTTTTAAGTTAAAATAACTGGTTTTACCATAATAAAAGCCGGTATTTTTTGTAGAACACAATGTTAATTATTAGGTAGTCGTGTAAATATAACTTAAAAACATTCCATATATTTGTGGGTAGGCCTTTAATTTAAGTTCAATAGTCTATAATGACTGGGTAAAATTATACAGATGATTTTTTTAGGGATAGTGTACAATGACAACTACAAGACATTGCGATACAACGGTCATCACATATAAGTAGAAGCACGTGAAGGAATAGTGTCAATATTTGCATTTTAATTGAGTATAGGGATATTATTATATTTAGTAATATTAGACTACTATATTTGTAATATATAAATAATTAAAATTTAAACTCTCTGCTTTGATTGTGATTGTATTTTTACATTCAGTTCGCTAGTGCAGTAATGAAGTAACATATTTTTTATAATAATAAAAATAGCAATCAAGATACCACATGATGGACAATGATAACAACCACATATATACATATATATATGTACAGCACCATGCTCCATTATAGAATACACAATGACACCTATGATCCCCTTACGCGTTACCATTCTTGAAGACTAAGATGTTATGCCTCTGTACCCTGTAATTTCATAGCCATATCCCTTCAAACCGAAATAGTCACGAAAGTATAGCTACTTTACTTTTATTATTGAATCTTTAGAAGGAAACAATAAAGAGTATCTATCTATTTATCTTTCTATCTACTGCACGGTAGAAATACGAGTAGGACAGAACTATTTATGCAGAAGAATTTTGTATAAAGACTCCCTGTAGTACAATTATGTGGATTATACTGTGTGTGTTTGTAGGCTACCTCTTCCTTTCCCGTAGGTGTCGTGAGAGCCGACTAAGGGCGTGGGATGGACAGTAGCGTACCTATTAAAACATCCCTAAAGCCAAGCTGCAGTTGTCAATCTGCCTGTCAAGCGTGGCAACTACTGGCAAAACCCCCTAAAGGCGAGGCTTATGTTCAGCAGTGGACAGTTAAAAGCTGATATGATGTTGATGATGATGATGATTGTGTGTGTTTTAGAAAATGGAACGAACCTGTTACCTCCTATTTTAGCAGCGAGCCAGCCGCCCGGTAGCTGTGTGAACAGATAGCCGTAGAAAAAGGAACTGAGGATCAACCCCTTGGTCTGTGTGCTCCAATCAAATTCTGGAATCTTAAATAAAAAAAAAATAACAAATGAAACAGTGAAATTGAAACCGTTAGTAAAGTTTTAAGGGAATCGGATCAAGGTTTTGGTCTGAGGTGTCATTCTTTAAACCTATTTCTAAAAATAAATTCATACAAGAAATTCAAAATACATTTCAATAATTCCTATTAATTAATTAAATAGAATCGTAATTCTAAGGACTAATGAAGAATGAACTAATTACTAACAAATTTAAATTAAACTTAGTATAAATATAGATCATCATTGTCTATAAAATAGTATTTTCGCTATACTTTCAAATTTATAAAAAAAAAAGACTAATTTAGAAAACGGTGCCTCAGAATCGACCGCAAAATTTTTTAGACAACACAACATTTTCGAATACCACCAAAAATGTATTTCTAAGGAGGGTTAAGTCAAGTGAGCTGTTGTAAAATTATCGAAATATGAATAAAAACATACATCGCTTATGTTGCAGGCATCCATAGGCTACAGTGACCGTTTACCATCAAACGGACTGTATGCTTCTTTGCCGCCTTCGTGACAGAATATATAATTTATATAATTGGGATAAAGGTAGGAAGTTGATGACGATAACTAAATACTTTTCCATTCGAAAAATAAAATAAAAAAATAAGCAGAAATGTTCAGTTTCGCTAGTAGTGTATATATATATATATACCTATTTCAACATTTTTTTAACGAAATAACCATAAAGTAAATGATTGTCGTAATTATATTTACAGAGTTTGTTTAGTACCCTTAACACTACGGATAAACGCTATAAGTAGTAAATTCGTTTATATGCATCGTTTCACACTACGTCAAAGTCACATACGATAGATTATTTTGGATCAAATTTTTATAACCTCTCAAACTCGAGCGGGATTTCATGGCCCTATTATTATTGGCGATTTTACCTTACTCTCTTGAACATAATAGTCGAATATCAATCTAATTCCGAGGGGTATAAGGATCGAAATGTTTAATACTGATTAAAAGAATAACGTCTTATAAATGGTGTATTAGTAGGTGTATATATTGCTACGCAGATCTTGGTAAATATGTCGCGTGAAATTTGACGACGTCGGTCGCGCGAAAGTCTACGCGTACTTTATTTTATGCATTTCCAAGTAAAATTTTTACAGGATAATCCGATTTTTATGTTTATTTTTAATCGACTATAATGAGCAAAATCTTCAATGCCACTGTATATTTCAACCAACTTCAAAAAAAGTTAGAGGCTCTTATAGTACTAGCTCTGCTTAGATACTTTGGATATTGATGGCGCTGTGGAATAAGTTCGGTGGTATACATATATTATCGATATTAATGTACTGAAAAGATATTGACAACGTAGGGCTCTAGTATCGAGCGTGTGTAATACTAATAAAAGTATATTGCCGGTTTACACTAGCCCCAGGCCTCTACGGTGATATTCGATACGCTCCGAAGGTTTTATAGTGCGTGTAACGTAGGAAAATAGGTAAACACTGAGAGAAAACAGTACCGTAAAGCAACATTTTCAATAAAATAATAAATAAAAGAAAAAAAATTAATTAGTTTTTTAGATTGTTTCTAAAAAGTGGAATAGAAATAATTAACATCTCTTTAAGGAAAAAAAGCGATCTTAAACATTTTTTCCAAATAAATGGGAATTGAAAAACGACAAAATATTTTAGGACCCACTGTATTGATTTGTATTATTGTATAAAATATGTATTTATTATTTAAATTGAAAAGCTGACCGCGAGTAATGGGAAAACGGGGTGACAGAAGAAGTATAGACAAAATATTAGTTTTTGTTTCTTTCTATAAAAAATCTACTGCACATACCTCTATACAGGTGGTCTGTCTCACTCGTGTTATTGTCGCCGAGTGATTATATTTAAATGGCAAAATTTTTTTATTATTTCGGTATGGAGACAGAACACCTTAGTTCTCAGGAATGGCATCGTATTAGGGGTACTAAGTACATTACAGTATATTCGGTGATGCCCATAGTATTGTTTGTCTATAGGCGACAGTTACCATTTTTCAAGGGTGCGTTAGCTTGTTTGATATTTAAAGTCGTGTACAAAAACATATTAGTAATTTTGTAATAGAGTAATTTTGTCTCAATACAGGATTTTACACGTTACAAGTTACTCAGCGAGCTATGGAGAGGGCTATGCCCGGAGTCTTTTTGCGTGATAGAATCCGAAACGGAGATATCCGCAAAAGAGAAAATCGTCAAAATAACCAACATAGCCCGAAGGATAAGCAAGCTGAAGTGACAATGGGCTGGTCACATAGCTTGAAGAACGACAACCAATGGGGAAGAAAGGTTGTTGAGTTGCGACCACGTACGGGTAAACGCAGTGAAGGACGTTCTTTATAGCAGTCTATGGGGGAGGCTTATGTCCATCAGTTAGTCATCAGATAATGGCTAAAATGATGATGATGATGACATTATTTAAAAATTTCATGCTTAGTTGCATAAGATCTTAAATTAAATAACATATCATTTACTCACAAACACAACAGTGCCATTATCTAGTTTAGTCTCTATGGGCTCCGACATAGCGACCACCGCTATTGACAGGTTGACTCTTAGTGCGTACACATTGAAGAATCCGAAGAAAGCCAGTAGAGCTACAACGTAACGTCTCTGCCGGAAGAAACATGATGATGTGCGGTCCTCTTTTACTTGTTCTCTGAAAAAAAAAACAAAATTATTAATCTTATAATCTGCGACGCTATGGTTACTAGTATAGCATTATCTATGGTATTTAAAATAAAATTAACACGTAAAATATAAATAATGACATTGGTAATGAAATTGTAAGCCTCCCATTACCAATCAAAGGGCCCAGCTGTCAAGTACAAAACTTTTTATCATATTTCGATTCGAAGCACGCATTATTGGGGAAAATGTAGGCGTTCTACTATATTTTCCTCCTATGAAATCACGTAATTATTTAGATTTTATCGTGCATAAAATGTTATGATAATAACATCATCGTCATCGTATCAACCATTAACTGTTCTCTGCTGAACATAATTCCCCTCCTCCCCCTCCATGGGGGGGGGGGGGGGAGCAGTGTTATTACGATAATGATGAATTCGACACCATTTCTGCAATTTTTCTTAAATATGAGTATTCAATTAATACATTATTCATGAAAGATTAATGAAAATAAGTAATCCTATTGTTGAGACAGAAATCCAGATTGCGTACCTGATGGACCAAGAAATTTATAATAAAATGATTTTAATTGGTATTTTAATAATTAATGTTTGTATAATGTAAAAAATATAATTAAAATTAATTAAAAGCAATGAATTAGACTATGAGTATATACTTGAAATAAAAATATTCATTATTTATCATTATTATAGACACTAGACTCACACAACGGAGCGGAGTCAAGCTATATCTCATAATTCGCACGACTGATTCAGATAAAAAATAATTATACTAGTTTTTGAGTTGGACGACCTACCTCATTATCGAATTGTTGAAATCCGTTCAGCTATTTATGTATTTTTGTGATAACGTAATCACACAGACATAATTTTTTTAGAAAGTAATCACGACAATAAAACTCAATCTACAATGTTTCTGATCATTACAATTATTTTTATACTTGGAATGACCCACAAGATGTCAATCCAAGTATCCAATCTGACAAAAAGTGGTAACTATCGTATATATACTACGTACGTACGTACTATAAATATGAAAAATAACATGGACCATATATAATACATAGCCTACATATACCAAGACAATATATATATATATATATATATATATATATATATATATATATATATATATATATATATATATATATATATATATATATATAACCCCGTCTGCGCTATTGGTATATACATGCGGGGCACCAGTTAGGGATGACAGACGAGGAACCACGTGGAGGTCGACCTGACAGGGTATATTGCTAGTAATAATTGCTATTTGACCCCATTACTAACAATCCCTGTCCCCCCGCCAAGACAATATTACATGTACTATTTCCTCATACCCTGCAATTCCACCTTTTTGCTGTGTGGTTCTGACATAGAATGGCGAGGTGAAATCGGCGACTAAGAGAACTTAACACTCTGACCAGGCGTCCCGTGATGTTCGCGTGCAGTATCTACTAGTTTAATTTTACGCATATCGCGAATTCCACGTGCTCGCATTTTTTATGTTTATTGACGTTGTTATCCCGCGATTTTTGTTTTGGTAGATTGATATTGTTTTTAGAATCTCGCTAGATGGATAAATACTCGTACTGCTATTTATTGTCAAAGCAATGTGTTTTATTATTGTAAAAAAAAAATTCGCGGTCAGAGGGGTAATGGTTTAGGGATGGGTAGCAGATTCCCACTTAAAACATCACCAAAACCTAATTGCGGTTGCCAATTCGCCTGCCAAACGCGGTAACTACTGGTAAAGCCCAATATAGAGGGAGACCTATGTTCAACAGGGGATAGTTTACGACTGACATGATAATGATAATTTCACCCTTCAAACTGATACAAGCATGGCGGGTTGGTGGTATAAATTAAGATACTTAGAGGTACAACATACGTAAAACACCCAGGTGTTGTAGAAACAGTAAATAAGGTTCGTTCAAATTAACATATGACTGTTTGTAGATATTAACTGACTAGTAGCGTTCAACAACACGGCTTATCTAAGCAAATATTACTTAAGCTTTTACTGATAAGAGGTAAATAATCAATAAATAGAAGTGGCATATGTACCTATTTATAGTATTATACGAGAGATATGGTAGTTGAAATAAAAGTTTATGAAAAATCCATTTATCTTGGTAGGTAACGGTCATGTCTTTTATGATGTGGGAAAAGAAAACGTGTGTTAAAGGCCTCTATCATAAGTACATATTTTCAAAGGTAACGCTCCTAGTCTACCAAATAAATAATTTACCATTATTATTATTATTATTTTTTATAAAATTAACAACTCCTCTTTCAAGGAAGGGGAAAGGCAAACTAACTCCCGGCAGAAGTACTGTTGGCCAAAGTTCAGGTTCCCAGGGAGAAAACTGACGTACCATGCGGGTAGTATCTAAGAGCACCGCTTTCCCGGATTGCCTCAGAATCCGAACCGTCTGAGGTGTTGTTGGAATAAGAGAGAATGATTGTGATCAATTCGGTGGATGTCACTCTACATATTTCGGTATTAGCTGGTACACATTATATAATTGTATCCATCTACTTTCATAACTTATCTAATGCATAGACTCATTTTTTTACTGTTAATATGTAATTCAAGGTATTTTAGAGTAGTTCATAATAGAAAGTACTGTCATTATTACGAGAATAGTGATAATGGAGTTGCTTCTAACCCGCCATTCTCTAAACCTACCTCTAAAGTAAAAGTTTTAATTTCATATCACATCGAAATTTTTAAGGAATAATATGAAACAAATTTCTAATAAATTTAAATCATATTACTATAAAAATAGTTTATAATGTTTCATAAAATAGTACTTTAGCGAAACCATCAAAATTTTAGAGATACGTTTAGAGCATGGCGCCTTAGAATCGATCCCAATCTATACAGTTCATGCTTCTACAATGTGGATGAATTGTTTAATTTGGAAATTTGAATAAGAAAAAACAAAATACACAATATTAACACAAAATATGCTAGTAATACATTTTTGTTCAGATCTTGCAATAATTATAATATTAAATTTACTAGTATAGACTTGTTAAACTGTAAGATCCTTGCCTACAGGAAACAGAGAAGTTATCTATACCTAATATAATATAATCATGTATTTATGATTGCTTCATTTCTTTATCTCTGTCATACTTGCTTTTTACTATTGAGTGGATATTTGGTATTTCTGTTTATTCAATGTTAAATATGTTCTATTTATTTGTAGAAACTTGCTGATTTGTATGTTATTTATATGTACTATATACTAAGTGTAATAAGAAACTGATTGTTTCCTAAATAAAATGAAAAATAAATTAGTAAACGTTCAATTAACATTATCCTTTTAAAAAGTCACCATGTTTAATGATGTGACATTTTATGGCCTTTTCTCCGTATCGAACACAATTTTTTGAGTAACAATAGATTATATTTACCTTGGTTACATATTATTTTGTAAGTAAAAATAAATCCTTATTATGCAAGTAAGCATTAAAACAACAGTTGTAACTAGTGTTTAGTAATTTAGTTAATGGTTAGTAGTAACGCGAGTTATAATAAACTCGTTTGTTTTGAAATTTTCTACAAAGCCGCTGTGAAAAAATAATCTATTCATAAAAAAAAAAAAAAATATACTGAAACGCTTTAGAACTCGAATTGCTTACTTTTTTAGTTATTTGTAGCTGCTTATGTTAAATGAAGTTACTCGTGTTCTTTCAGGTTCCGTATTACAAAAGGAAAAACGGACCCCTTATTGGATTGTTTAGTTGTCTGCCTGTCAAGGCCATTTTTTCAGGAACGCGTGAAGGTATCAAACTGAAATTAATATCAAATACAAAAATCTGCAATCCCGTGAAGATTACGAAAAAAGCATACTTCTAAGTCAACGCAATCAAAAAATACGACCGTTTATAGCGTATACTTTGCCTTTTGCGAGGAAATAAAAAACTATAGGGTATTTCCCGTTGGTCTAGAATAATGAAATTTTGCAAGGAGCAATGTTGTATAGTACAAGTAATGAGAAAACTCTGAAAACATTAAATTTGCAGTTACAACATAATTTCTTTTCTTTTTTTTTAATTACAATTTGTATGGAAATCTCGCTCTCTGATTCGCATTGGCCTATTTTTTAATGAATGATAATGGAATGGTAATCCAGCCTACAAAAATCGGTATACGTTGGTGGGGCACCAGAAAGATATGGTAGGTGAAGATGAAAGTAGGTCCATTTTGCCCATAATGACGAATTCTACAAGAATTAACCACAATGGTTTTCAGGGGGAATCGCGACGAGGTTGACCTAAAAAGGTATATTCATTGCAATAGGCTGTTACAGTATATTACTAACAATCATTTTCCCTCCAAATTTCCCATGTTGACCCGAAAAGAAAATCTGGGACTACATATTTAAGTATATTTTACATGTTTCCAGGGAAAACTACGTGGAGGTCGACTTGATAGGGTGTATTGCTGGCAATGGGTCAGTTAGACCCCATTACTAACAATCCCCTTCCCCCCAATTGTCCTATTTGACTGACAGCCGTGTGGTCCCGGCATAGAATAGGCCACTCGTTCCTTTCCCGTAGGTGTCGTAAGAGGCGACTAAGGGAGCACGAGGGATGGGCAGCAGCAGCCCTCTTAAAACAACCCCAAAGCCTAACTGGATTTGCCAATCCGCCTGCTAAGCGTTGTAACTATAGACAAAACCCCTCAAGGGGGAAGCTTATGTTCAGCAGTGGACAGTTAAGGCTGATATGATGATGATGATGATAGCCCACCATTTACCTACGAGTATATTATTCGTATTCTTTAGTAGCACAATGCCAGTAAGTATATTGTTTGTGATAGTGTACAAAATATTTAGAGCATGACTAATTAATAAAGAGGTTGGTTATAATTACATTAATCTTATTACAATTAATATAAAATGAGATTACGTCTAGCTTTATTGGTTACAAACATTTCTAGAGTCGAACCCTTTGATAACAAATTAAATTACATAGTAAACACATTTAT